AGAAGCTACTGTAGATGTGAATACATTTCACATAAACTGCCGTGATATCTTTGTAATCAGTTTCCGCCCACAGAAAACTGCTTTCATTTCTCACTGGTGTTATTACAGTGAAATATTTTGGGATAGTGTCATCTTGTCATTTTGCGTTCAGCATTGGTGCAAGGAGGCGGAACCCTGAACAAAATTTGAAGGAAACTTTATTAATTTAATTTAACCTAGTCTGAATATATTGCTTTTTTTCTCTCTCTCTCCCTGTGTTTCTTTTAAATTTGCTTGAAGTAGATTTTGAAGCTTTGATCTGGTTGCAAAGTACCTGTAATTATCCCTTTCAATATATAGAAGTTAATGCCGCAGAATGTGAAATTGCTTTCTGCAATAATTTCAAAGATATTTGGAAGCTTTTCTATGCAGTAGCTTCTTTTGCTGTTATTAAGGTTAATAGGATTGAAATGTTTTGGGGATTACTCTCTTTCGTCCATTATCTTAAAGTGACAATGTTTTTAACACAGTCAAAAGGTGGTGTCACAACTAAGTATTAAAATACTTAGGTCCTGATGGTAATGTAAGTTGAAGTTCACGACACGTGATACACTATTGAAATGATATCTTGCATCTTAAAACTTTATCTCAGTTTATTTTCAGCGCCTTGGGACGTCCTCCTGACGTGAAAGGCACTGGACAAATGTAATTTGTTGTTGTTGTTGACCCCCTTCCCCTACCCACCCTTTACTGGATTCAGTTTCTCACAGGTTGGCTTGTGATAACCCTGTCAAATGGTCATTCGTGTGTGAGCCTTGACCGTGTGTGTTTGCTGGGTATTAGACACTTTGGAGCATCAGAACTGAGCCCATTCCTCACCTCTCAATAGCTTAACATCCCATTTATTCTGTCTTTCCTTGGCGGAAAGATTCTCAACCGGGGTGCACTAAAGCTAATGGTAACATTGCTAAGTGACATCCTGCCTGTGATCAGCCTTCGCTGTGTTTGGAACCCAGCGCTGGAAATTTTAATTCCAAACACTTTGTAATAGATTCATTATTTACACACAAGTACTGTTAGAATACGCACAACAGCTGGTCAGAACTTCAGGCTCTGAAATGCATTGGAAGACAAGACATGCAGACTTCTCTATTTTAATATAGAAAGTGGGTTAATATCAAGTTAGTCCTCTGTGGCGGATCAGTGAGTCATGTGTAGAAGAACATAGCAAGCGAGTGTTGTCGAGATTTCCGGCACAACATCTGTGATTCACTCCACAATGGGAACCGTTCCTGTCAAGTAGAATAAGCATTGACTGACTGAACATGGACACTTTTTGAGTAACATCTGGATTCTTTGCTGACCAGAATGGCTTCCCTGTTGGCCTCAGAGTTGTTGAATATGGGAGGAATTATTGCTGCCCCAAAGAAATTCAGATTGGGGCAAATAGGTTGGTAATGTGACTCCCCCCCAACTCCCAAGTTTATTTGCAGGTTTGTGCACAGTGACATGGGTTTGAAAAGTACTTTTGTGGTTGATAAGTTCCTTCCTCATCTTCAGGTCGTGCCTGAAGACCTTCCTCTTCCACCGTGACCCCCTTCCCCCTGGCTCGGCCACTGTCGAGCGCTCTGGGACCAGACCCTGCGTGAGGTGCGCTGTGTAAATGCAAGTTGCTGTTGCTGTTACAAGCGCTGCTCGGTCTTTCAAGAATGGGAACCAAGTGGATCAGGAAGCCTGAGAACGAACCTAGTGAACGGGTTTTTATTTGTTTGGAAACCCCATATTGAGCAAAATAAATGTATCGAGGGTGGTGGGGAAAACAACAATATGAAGGGAAGAATTGGTAATACTGCAGAATAACGTTCATGATTTATACTTTGTTGATAGAGTGTTGATTTCTAACACTGACAAATGGCCCTGAATGACCAAAACGTTTACCCGCAGCTGAACCAGAAATGGCGATTGATTTTATTTTATGTTGCATTGGTTCAGTTCGCATTTCTGTAATCCCAATGGGTTTATATAAAGTGTGAAAAACAAATCTTGCACTCGGGGGTGGGGGGAAAAACCACAGCCGCCGAGATTTCCTTTAGGTTTTGTGGCTGTGATTTTTCAGTGTGCTGGCATCCGTATACTTTTGAAATCGTAGTCGAAAATTCGTAACTTAGGGCATTGCCGATAGAAAGCCTGAACAACGCCAGCAGATAATCAATCTCTTAATGCCCTTGTTGTAAAAGGATTGCGTCTTCACCAGAAATTAGTAAAACCATTCTTTACAGATGGAGGAATAGTCGTGTTATTTTTGTCACTTGGTACCTGTTCTTAAAAATCTATAAATAGAAAAAGGGCACTTGCCAAAAAAAAAAACGATTTGCTGAAAGGGTGACCTTTTAGATGTTTGAATGGTGTTGATGGTTTGTGCAGCGATAATGTTAATAAATTCTTAAATTAAAATGTGCTAAAAGTGACACGTATTTACTGCAAAATCCTGTGAAGCGCTTTGAGGCGTCCTCTTGTCCTGGAAGGCACTCATCAAATGCAAGGATAGTGATAATTATCATTGCCTTAGTGGTGCTTTTTTTTGTCAGATCCATGAAATCTTGCAGTGCCAGAATTTGCACAAAACAGTTGGTCAAAGTAAGGTTGCATTGAGTTTTTGGTGTGACGGGGATTGATGTTAAATAGTACAATCTATGATTTATGTGCTTATGGCTACATAACTGTTCAATTCCAATTGTGTTTCATTCCTTCCTCTATGTAAGGAATGGGTAACCCTTTGCGCTATCTATTGGATTGCTGAGAACTGTCTGTGGGCATTGGGGAACGAGTTGCTTAGTCTCACCTTGTGCCCGAGATGCCAACAAGACTATGATTTGTGCAGTGGAACAGATGAGATAAGAGTCAGTGATGGGTTCCATTAGAATCGCGACTGTGTTCTGCCGTTTTGCACAATCCGTTTGCAATCGGAAGCAACATTCAAAGTTGAATTTTGTTCCAACCAAAATGGATTTGGGTCCAGTGATACTCTCTGCATTTTCTTTAAAAAAAATAGTCACGTATGATGCGCTCTCGATGCTGGAACTAATTTCAGAAAATAATTTGACTGCTGCAGATTTGACACTTTCTCCAATACGGTCAGGTATTTGTCAGGTTGGGGCCGTGTTTCCGCGGGAAACTCTGGCAGTTTCCTTTATTTGAGCAAAGCAGGCTGACATGTTATTATCCCACAACATCATACTGAGAGGCTGCAAAGTAGGTCAGTAAGATGCTATATCTGCCTGCACTCCTGTAGAGCCATTCAATGGCACGGTATACCATCTGCAAATTAGAACTGACTTGTGTATATTTTGTGTACAAGTTAAACTGTGTTCTGGTTGTCTCATTTATAGATTATCTGTATTTTAAAGGTGTTCAGTTCTCTTGCATGCCATTTAATCTGTAGAGCATCTTTCTTTAAACGTATATGGTTCAGCTTATTTTGCTAAGTGCTCAGTTACCCCATTATTACCCCAGTCAATTCACTTTACAGAATATTCTATGAAGCGCTTTGAAACATCTCGAAGACGTGATGAGGTGCTATATCAAATGTATTATTATTATGACACATAATTAGATTGAAGCTATGCCCCAATGATGGACAAAGAGAAATTTGCAATTTTTAATGATTTGTTGTCAGAACAGAATCCCCCCTCCACTGCATGGGTATAGAATAAATATCTTTCATTGGCCCCATTTTTATCAATTTGTACCAACAGAAAGTTTGACTCCCTATATTGCAAAAATAGATAAAATTGATAGATTTTTTTTTACAGAAACAAAAAACACAACTCTCCTTCACTCATTTCATGGCTGTTTGTGGGACATGGCTGTGTGCAAATGAGCTGCCATGTTTGTCTTACAAACGCACCTCACAGTTTAAAAACTCCGGCAAAGCACTTTGAAACGTCTCGACGACATGATGAGGTGCTATATCAAATACAAGTATTATTATAAAGAGTACAGCTCAACCTAACCATTACCTACTTCTCTCTTTCTCCTCCCACACACCCACCCAGAATAAATTGAAGACGTGTTTGACTGCTGGGACTGTGGCCTCTGAAATCTTGTTCTGATCAAAACAACAGTTAAATTGTGGGAATGTAGCTAACACATCATTAGCATGTTAGCTAAATAGTTTTCCTATGTGCTGTGCCCAGAGGGTAAATGAGTACTCCGAGCCCCATTGGATTCACCATTGGTGGCACCACACAAGTTCCATTAGTACAAGGATACACAAGGAGGTGGTGGGTGTGTTATCTGTTGCCTGTTTCATTTATGCCCCCAGACTGGTCTGCTTGAGTTAATGCATAAAAAGGTTTGCCTGGTCAGTCAGTCATGGCAGTTCTGCTTGAGTTCATTCTGACAGGGTTTCAAACAGCAGAGATGAATGTTTGACAGGGAACAGCCTCTTGTGTGTGAACATATCCGATTCACAATGGATTGAACGCTGACAGTTTTTGTAACTTATTTGCTGCAGTCTACGTACTCTGAAACTAGACAGATTTTTTTGGTCATATCATTTCTTCCCACGGTGTAGAGTACAACTTCAGTAATAATAATAATCCTTGCATTTGATACGGCGCCTTATCACGTCTTCGAGACATCTCAAAGCGCTTCACAGGATATACTGTATAGTTGAAATGTACATTTCCAACATAGTGCTTTGAGATGTCTCAATGACGTGATAAGGCCCTATATCAAATGCAAGGATTATTATTATTATAATGTACTTGGAATTGCAGCATGTTTTGAAATTGTACATTAATTAAATATTCAGTCAGATTTTTCTACATTATCATTTTTGAGCTGATCTTGATGCAGTTTATCAGGACAAACAGAGAACCGGGCAAGGAGAGAAAAACAAAGGAAAATTTAGCTGGAGGACAGGAGATGATGAGATCAGATAACTATTGTAAATGTGTAAATAACTACTATTCTCTGTGCTGCGATGCTGACTGACGCTGTGGCGTGTGTTTTCATAGTGGAAAGATGTATGGGGGTAATGCAGTCGGGGACCCAGATGGTGAAGCTGAAGAGCGGAAGCAAAGGCCTTGTCCGGCTCTTCTACCTGGATGAACACAGGACCTGCATCAGGTGGCGGCCTTCCAGGAAGAACGAGAAAGCCAAGAGTAAGGGTTTATTTCCTTTCCCTTTTCTTTCAGGACAGTTTCCCGAGGGAAGGAGGGAGGGAGGGACAGACAAACAAACAAAATGTCATTTGTTTCAAGAACAAATTCAATAGATTTCTGCTAGAAAATAATATCTGGGGATACAGTGTATAGTTTGGGACACGACATGTCAAGTGACTGCCAGGATGGTGGAAGGCGAACTAGATGGACCTGAGTCTTCTTTCGCCCAACGAATTCTTATGTTCTTAATCAGTGTGTGTGCATTAAAAATAATGTGAGCTTTGTTTTTCCCTCCCTCCCTCCAGTTACGATTGATTCGATTTCTAAAGTCTTAGAAGGCAGACAGTCTGAGAACTTTAACCGTCACACTGAGGGGAGTTTTGAGCCAAGCTGTTGCTTTAGTATTTACCACGGCAATCACATGGAGGCACTGGACCTGGTCACTTCCAACCCTGAGGATGCCCGCACTTGGATAACTGGATTAAAATACCTGATGGCCGGAATCAAAGATGAGGATTCGCTTGCAAAACGACAGAGGACTCATGATCAATATCCTTTTTGATGCTTTTGCAAAACACACAGCGCAACACTGTCAGCGTAATAATATAATAATCCTTGTACTTGATACAGCGCCTTATCACGTCTTCGAGACGTCTCAAAGCGCTTCACAGAATACACTGTAAAGTAAATTGACTGTATATTTTGTGGATAAAACGCGGCAGCCAATTGTGCACAGCAGCGTCCCACAATCAGCCGTGGATTGATAAGTCTGATATAAGTCTGATGAGCATAATTCTCTGTAGGACCTTGGAATGGTACAGGACTGGTAAAGACCATCTGGCCCAGCCCATTTTATTTTTCATCTTCAATAAAATTCTTTGCCGAGTTGCAATCTGATTCCCTCTGGCATTTGCTGTCAGTGTGTATACCCGGAGCAGTTCTCCGGGAACTCAGTTCCGTATGTTCACCAGTCTCTGCGGAAAGTAAGCTAAATCTGAACTGTTTGTCACCTCCCCTCTTTTGAGCTCGGGCCCACGTCTCAGACTTCAATCTGCTGTTTCCTGCTGACGCGTGGCTGTGAGTTGGGGGGAAAGAGAACAAATTACACTGTGCAAAATACTGAAGATGCTGGAGATCTGAAATAAAATCAGAAGTGGCTGGGAACACTCACTCAGCAGGTCAGGCAGTATCGACGGAGAGAGGAAAGTGTGTCAACGTTTCAGGTCAATGACCTTTCGTCAGAGTGTTCCCAGCGACGTCTGTTTTTATTACAAAATACACTGGTCCAGGTTAAGCATGTTCTAGTGATTTAGAGGCTACTGTCCTGGCAGACAGACAGCGACTGTGTATTTGTAGGCCAGCGCGGCAGCCAATTTGCACACAGTAAGTCTCCCAGAGACAGCCATCGAGTGACTGACTTGTGGCACTAGGAGAAACTCTCCCTTCTCTTGAAGGATGTCACAACAACAACAAAATTACATGTGTATAGCGCCTTTCATGTCGGGAGGATGTCCCAAGGCACTGGATAGACAGTTACAGATCTGAGCTCGGGGCCGGGGAGGCTGGAGGGCAGCGGGGGTACAGGGTCATCCAGCTCAACAGATGGATAGGTCCTCAGTTTGTTTTGCCCAAAGGACAGCACAGTGTTCCCCATTACTCTGATGGAGCATCAGCCTTGTCTCTGAGCTCAAAGTCCTGACAAAAAGGCTTAAATCCACAACCTTCTGACTTGGGGGGTGGGGGGGGGTGCAAGAGTGATCCCAAGTGAACCGAGCTGACATCTAGTTAAGTTAGTGTCCAAGGCTTGAAGGTTCTGTCAACTTTTACAGCAAGTCTCAAAAAGTCACGGTCCTGCTTCCCGAAATTCTATTTATTTTTTCCTTAATTTCCTCTCATGTGGATGAAACAGACCTTTGAAGAAGCTGACAAGAATGGGGATGGCTTGCTGAGCATTGAGGAGATTTACCAACTGATGCATAAACTCAATGTGAATCTGCCCCGCAGGAAAATCAGGCAGATGTTTCAGGTTAGTTGCTTCCCAGAGATAGCTGACTGAAGCCGATATGAGAGTAGGAAATATATTCAACATCTTTGAAGGTTGGCTTTCTGATCCTTTCACCTCACGAGCCTAAATCTCGAGCTTTGCTTTGCTGCTCATTGCCAGGTTTTAGTAGTGAATCTAATATTGTCCTCAGGGTGAAATTTGTGGCAGTCTCACCCTGTGCAAACCCAGTGAGATATTTTAGTATTGTGGCAGGTTCCCATAAATATTTAAGCTCCACAATTACTGTGGCTAATTAGAAACCAGGGTGGACACTGATTAAATATTGTGTGCTGCTGGTTTTCAAAGCTTTCTTGTTTATTCGTGTTAAATACTGCGCATCCGAAGTGTGTGGCTCTTCAAATAGTCCTGGATAATCAATGGATTTGCATTGGAGATTGTAGATGAAAGCAGTTTGCTTCCAAGGTGGTTGTTTTTCTTTTGAATCCCGTTCAAAGTGTTTGTGTGAAAACGTGAATTTCTTTTTTTTTTTATCTTTAATGTTTTGTGGCCAGTTTTCAGTTGTAATGAATAATACGAAATGGATCCAGCTGCTTCGTTTGGGCACTTAAAACACTTTGATAACTTAATCGGTTGAACCTGTTTTGGGTTGGCAACTGCTTCGAGGTACATTTCTAATTTTTTTTTTCTGATGAATGAATCTTTCCGACTGCAAATAGTCAGTGGTGCAGTCAATAAGCAGTTACTATACTTGCGCAGTGTTTGTCTGGTTTCTGTTCACCAGAGAACATGGGCACCCAAGGGCCATGATCTCCTTTACCTATACTTTATGCTGCTCTTGGTATATCTGCTTCACACAGACAAGAAAATTTACACATTTAAGGTGGCTAGCAGGATTTACGTGCTTTACAAAGCATCCAACTTTACCGATAACTGGAACCCTTTCTAGATTATTTTAACTGATTGCTCTATTTTGGATTTGGAGAGGATATATTTTTCTCTTTTCTCACCCCCCATCGCACCGAATAACTTTGTGATATTGTTTCCAAGTCACTAGAAGGTTAAAGGTTTCTTAATTACCTGTGACTCAGTCCATTTTGTTGACCTCGAAGTCCTTGTAAAATCTATCTGTATTAGTGGTAATGTTACCGCACATTGTAGTATTATTACAGTAATGAATGTAATACAGCATTTTTTGATCAATGTGATGCAGATTTTCCACCTGAATCCCTTTCAAGCTTCACGGCTTAAAGGCAAAAGAGCAATACTGTCAATGGTGTCAGAGAAAAACACAAACTGGGCTTCAGAGAATACCAGGTGTGAGACCTGACTGGCAGACCATCAAGACAATCATTTGATCCCAGAGTTCTGGCGGCATTGAAAACCTTTTATTCTCAATTCACTGTCAGCCTCCTATCTCCCTGCCAGCTGCACATCAACCGAAATCCTACCCAAGAAAGTCAGCTGAAACACTTATTGAATTAACAATTGAGAATATTTAGCTGTTCCCATGTAAAGGAGAGTTATCTGAATATTTTGTACTTAACGAGTCTAACGGGAGAGACTGCCAATGAAAATCTGGAGATGGGTCCCTATTGAAATAGAGTTGGTTTTCTGTCATTCACCGGTGATGGGTCTCATGAGGTCCTGTCCTAAAAGCCGCCACTCTTGCCCGAAGCCCTTGATGAGGAATCTGTCAATATTGCGCACTTAGTTTCACAGGTGATTTATACTTGAGATTTGCTTCTGCCCAGGTGCTTAGGAACGCATTGGGCTCCACGTGGATAGCCCATTCATCAATTGAATGGGCTATTCTCTTGGCTTCTTCTAGTTAGATTACACTCAAGATTATTTTGATTTTCTTATTTCTTCTAAAGATTTTGGTGCTGATGTTTAATTCCCACCTCCCTTCCCTTCTCTGCCGCTTACAAAACAGGACATAGTTTAATCCCTCGTCTCCACACAGAGGTGGAGTTGATTCATTCGATGATTCATCTCTGTCCCTCACGCCAACTGCTCCAATTGAATGAGGTTGGAGGAGATTTACCCGGCTTGCATAGAGTGTAAATGAGAAGACCAAAATACAGCTGCTCCTCTTAAACCTGAATACGTTATGTAATTGCATGTGCAGGAAGCCACTATCTGTATTCTGCCATAATAGCCCACACACCAATTATAGCAAATGTGCCCGTTCACAATCCACAGTACTTGATGAATGTAGTTTTCCTGGCATTTAATAGTGTGTCTGACTTGCCGTATTTTTGAAGGTCTGTGTGCTTCATGGGTTTAATGTAAAATGTATTTACTGTGTGTTTGTTGGCAATTTGTAGGCAAACACCAATTTGTGCACAGCAATTTCCAACAAACAGTTGTAAAGTTAATAGCCAGTTTTATTTGGGGGGCTTTCTGCAAAGCTTCAGTTTTTCGAGCATGTTATGTGGATCTGTGTCTTATGGACCAGGTTTGAATAACTCACCAGCTCTCCACAGATATTTACCTACAAATATTACACTTGATAGCAATTACCCTTGAAGCACATTGAGATGTTTCAATGTTATGGGAACAGCTGTATATCAAAAGCAAAGATTATGACTAATTATTATAATAAGGCGTTTGTTTTCCTGAGGTGTTTTAGCATGAGTCACAGAGCCTGAACTCTTGACATTGGGAAGATGAATAGAACTGTGACTGTGATGATTTTAAATGCACTCTTTTAGATCTAGGCAGAAATTTACCTCGTATCCTCACTGAAGGACAGAACTGAGCCAAGATAAACAACAACTTGTAACCGATGTCTCACAGTGAGCGAGCGAGTGCCAGGTTAAAACTGTACACATGGGGTAGTGTCCCGGAGACCTTGACTGTGGCGGAGTCTGACCCTGAGCCAGGGGGAGAGGGGGTGGGGAGGTGACCATAAGCACGATGAAAAAGGAAGGTCTTTCGGCGGGATTTGAAGGTGGGGCAAGGCGGAGGGATTGAGGGAGAGAGCTCTAGAGTTTCAGGGCGTAGTGGCTGAAGGCACGGCCACCGATGGTGGAGCGGAGGGGTTGAGGGACAAACAGGAGGCCGGAGCCAGCCAAGGGGAGCAATCGGGTTGTGGAGTGGGGGGTAAAGCAAATCAGAGAGGCAGGGAGATGTGACTGCTTGAAGGGATTGGATAAATAATGGGATTGGATGGGAATGTCACACTGGTGTTGAGGTTCAATTGTGAGGTGCTTTTGCAAAGTGGAGAAGTAAACAAGCAGTAAGACATTTACATATGAATAACTGTCTAGTCTCATCTGACTTTACAATGTCTTCTCACTCCCCACATTTTCCCTTTGATTTTACCTTTTCACAGGACACCTGTTGATTTATTTTTTGATGGCCATGGTTTAATTCTGCTTCTGTTAGTTTACCATTAGTATCGAGTCCTAGCTCAATTATTATTGTTGTGCATTATTTTTAGGCATTTCCAAAGTGAGCAGGCTGCAGGTCATGATAACCTTTGTAAACGCTGGCAGTATGTAATTAGAAGGAAATACCACAAGCTTAAATTAAAGGCAAGAATCTAATGAGCTCGGTCATTAGCTGATAAAGCAGTTAACAGCCAGGAATATCATGAAGGTGGAAGAAGTAGCCAGCTGGAAGGCAAAATCAAGTTATTCTTTATTGTACTTTGTCATTGGGGAGGAGAATAAGCCTTGATCTAAATCCTACTCCCTGCTTTGGTCTTATATATCTTCCCGGGGGGTGTGTGTGTGTTGTCCTTTCAGCTTTCAATGTGCTTCGCCCCGTCGGCTGTCTCACACATGACACGCTGCTAATACTATTAATATTGGCGTTCCATTCATTTTTGAGAGCTTCTGTTCGTAGATCTGGCACATGTCAAGTTTTTGACTGTTCCGCACCCCCCTACTTTGAGAAATAACGGTGCAAAAATCTGAGGCAAGAGGCTTTTTCTTGGAGAAAGGAATTTGATCGTTTTCGTACCTTTTCACGACGGGAGGACATCTTGAAGTGTTTTGCAGGATTTACTGTAGTGGACCAATGCAGTAGCAGTGAGAGAGAGAGATGAAAGGAGAGCAAATGAATAACTGTATGTAGGTTGTCTGCTTTAATATATGTATTCGAAGAGTTCACATAGTTAAGGCCAAGGAACAGGATCTTAATCAATATTCAGCCAGCTTACACTGGAATACTTCATTACCAATGGTAATCGCTTAAGAGCTTTATGCTGAATAAGACTAAGCCTCACTGTATATATTGAAATCAAGATTAGTTCTGGAAAAGAAGCTATACTGCTTGTGCATTCTACTTGTAGGTAGAGAAGGGAGTTTCTCCCTGTGTCCTGGCCAACAATCTCCCTGATAAAATTGGTCATTCATATCATTGGCTGTTTATGGGACATTACTGTGTTCAGTTCAGCTGCCTTGTTTGTCCAGCAAAATACAGTCGCTACACTTTACAGTAGATGCTGTGATGGGCTTTGAGATATTCTCCCAACATGAAAGATGCTGAATGGATTATTATTATTTGCAACACAATACAAGCAAGAAGCAAAGCACTTTTATCCCTTGTGCCTTCTCTGGTATAACTGGTTAAGTATGCAGTTGCTGGAGAGACGTGACTGCAAGTGTTAAGAAACTGCTGTTGAGTTCTTTACCAATCTATGTGCAGATTCCCTTGGGCAAAAAACTGCCAGTGATAATGTTGTGTTGGCTGGAATGTTTCCACAAGAACACAATACTTTAGGCGTGCTGAAATTGGGTTTGAATAAATTACCGCAAGTCACGCACAATAACTTTTTTTTAAAAAAAGCATGTGCGCACACACACACACAGACACACACACAGACACACACACACACACACAATTCCAAGATGCCTCCGAGGTGGAAATTTATTTCAATAATGCAAAAATGCTGACTTAATGACTTCATTACCAGCAAAGCCTCCGGTGTGTTTGAAAGGGTTTTTGATTGATGTTCATTTGTTAAATGTTCAGTAAGGATTGTGCACTTAAAACCACATGCTGGCAGACAGTCGGAAAATCAGAGAGTAAGCAAATCAAGAAAACGTAGAAAGTAACATCTCGACGTGCAATATTTAAGATCCTTTAAACTTAAACCCATCCTGACCCAAAGCCACCTGTTGCTATCAGTTTCAAGCATTAACATCAATTTGTGATATTTTCAACTAGAATTCCAAAGGTGCTTCCACCTCATTGACCAAGATTTGCTTTTATTTTTATTGGGGAAAAAAACACATTGTGAGAATCTCACTTTTTATACAATCTTTTTTGTAATGTTCTCTTCATTACAAAAATGAAGATCTTTAGAGTTGAGGTTAGTCCCGAAATTATATCTGACCTCCAGATATCACAGTAGTAAGTTAGAAGCTGCGAGTTTCATTAAACTATTTTATGGTTCCCTTATTTTATGCTTCACTTGACGAAATGCTCTTGTTCAGAATAAAAGTCATCTGTACAGATTAGGAAGGTCTTAGATTCAATCAAGGTGACGGGAAAGACTGAATTTACCGTTTAATAGTCACCTGGGAGCAATTGTAGAGGTTGACATGGCTGACATGAACCATCAAACAAGCCCAATAGCTCACTTTCCTGTGAAATCTTCAGTGGGAGCTGTGCTTGTTGAAATGAATAGCCTTGTCCATTCCTAAAAGTCTCGTTGTTTAATTTCATTTATTCAGATGACAAAAAATTTTTTGAATTGTGGATTCAAAAGGTCGTGGATTGCAGTGACCAAATTGTTATTGTTTTTGTGCCTTTAGCACAAGGAAAAACGTATCCAAGTGCTTTCCAATACGCATTGGTAACCAAGATTGGGTGTGGGGAAATGTGTCAGGGTTTTGAAAGCAGAGAGAGGGGTGGTGAAGGAGATTTGTGAAGAGCTTCAGAGAGTGAGAACAAAGTGGTTGAAAGCTCACTGTAATAACTACAAGTGGTTTGACATAGTGACCTTCTAATTGGGTTACAGCCTTTCAACAGTGACAACAACAAACTACATTTGTATAACGTCTTTCATGTTGGGAGGATGTCCCAAGGTGCTGGACAGTTAGGGATTTGGATCCGACCTAGGGGTTGACATCAGGAGGGGTGGAGGAACAGGGAGGGTAAGGGTAGGAGGGTGACCGAAGGCGCGGTTGAAAAGGAGGGTCTTGAGAACCAATACATAACACCTAACTGCTTTAATATATGTATTTCAGCGCATCACATCCCTTCTTTGCACCAAGTTATTTATATAATATATATATATAAACACACAAACACACAGTTTATACGTGGCAGGGTTGTGTAAAATTACCCCCGAAGCATGTTAAATATAGTTGTTCCAAATTCATTTTGATATGGAATCTTATTGTTTCGACTCAAGTGTTGGAGGCGACTGGTAACAAATAAGGTACAATTTTCAAGCATTAATGAGATGATGCTTCACAAGTAGAGTAGCAGTTTAATGCCAATGGCCTATTTGTATAAAACTACCACTTTTAATTGTGAAGCATTATTTCATTCATGTTGAAGATTGTGTGTTTGCATAACGGTTTGTGTTTTTTTAACCAGATTAATGGAAAATATTTGAATTCTTCTGTGTGTTGTTTTTGTTATTGATCTTCCCAGGAGGCCGACACTGATGACAAACAGGGCACGTTGAACTTCGAAGAATTCTGCGTCTTTTATAAGATGATGTCTCTCCGACGGGATCTGTTTCTGCTGCTGAAGTCTTATAGCGACAAAAAGGACCATCTGACCTTGGAAGAGGTTGCTGTGTTTCTCAACAAAGAACAAAAAGTAAATTGGGAATTCACTCTCAGACTTTCGTTCCGCAATCCGGGAATTAGGCGTTTCAGTCTTTCTTTTTTTTATATGCCCCAAAACTTGATGAGGCATTTTGTTCCATCGATTTCCTCGCCTTAGAAGACGTACAGTCAATTTGCTTTACAATGTATTCTGTGAAGCTCTTTGAGCCGTCTCAAAGACGTGATAAGGCACTATATCAGATGGAAGGATTATTATTATTATCATCTCAGATGAAAAAGGCCCTAAATCTCATCTTTCCAGAATACCATCCATTATATTGCAAGTTATAAGGTATTCCTCCTCTGTACCAGGCAGAGGTTGTGAGACCAGTCTGAAAGTGATTTTTATCTAATTTCCGTCTTCATCTCCCAGGAGCTGCAAGGCTAAGACAAGAAACTTATTATCTTGGGATTTGAACTTGTACGTTAACACACTGTGCATTAGTATTTTAGTAATATTTTAAATCTCACACGGATGAGGTGAAAACATTTTATTTATTTCCCCGATGATGCTTTTATCTGTAAAGCCGCAAGAGGAACAAAAATTCTGTCAAGTCTTGGCTTGGAATGTTGCTCCAGTTTTGATTGAAGTATAATCTGGGACTGGATAATTAGAGCATTATCCATTCACCTATAGGACCTGGGCTCCAATACTGCCTGGATTGATGGGATTATGGTCTCCTGAGAGGCTGGAGAGGCTTCACATGAAATACGTTTGTGCAATTTGTGCTGGATAAAGCTTTCATAATTTGTCACTGTCCACGGGGCTGCTGCGGAGAGCAGCGGAGATTTACACTGATGGTGGGGGGGGTCAGTGAGCACCTTCTCTGGGGACAGTCATTGTGGCTTATTTACTGAGACTGCAATCGGGAAGCATTCCACTCACTAAACCAGACCTGGGGTAGAAAGCGTTACAGGAAACATTTCATTCCTCATCTCGAACCAAACCAACATTCTTCACTTTTAAACAAAAATCGTGTTCCTTAAGCAATGAATCACCTTCTTGGAAAGATTTTGTAACAACTGATGCCGTATCTTCTGTTCTTCCATTCTATCTGATGCCCTCCCTTTATTGACGTTGGTTATTGCTGTGCCTTCTGTCAGAAATTATTCTCTGCTGCAATTTGTTAGGTCAGGGTATCAAGGGATCTGGATGGGCCAATGGCGGGTAATTGGAGTTGATCTGATAGATTGGCGGAACAGGCTCGAGGGGCTGAATGACCTCCTCCGGTTTCTGTGCTCCCCTTCCCACCCACCTCTCCCCCATCCACCACATGTTAAGCCTGGAATCCCTCTGCAGACCCAACACTTGCTGTGTTTCATGAATTAAATTCATTGATCTTTCCAAGGACATCGACCTTTCTCTTTTGTCCTCCGTTCTGTTCAGAGGCTTTAATGAGCAAACAACAATCACAGCAAACCATCATGTCTAACCACCAGAACTGCAAACATTCACAGAAAGCAGTCTATGGCACCTCTTGCAGTCGGATCCTGATTTAATAAAGTATCTAATTCTGTTTGGTAATAAATGACCAACTTTTTTTTCAAAAAATGCTATGAATAAAATCCAAGCACCTTAAGCAAAGTCTGAGCTCCTTGTAAAGGTAAATAATAAATGGATTTTGTGGGGAGGGGAGGGAATTGCATTGTATTCGCCTGCAAAAAAAAAACCAATCACAACACTTTACAGTAAAGCCTATAACACATTCTCCTGACATGAAAGGGGCACAATATCAAACACTAGGATCTGTGGTTGATTGAGAACACTAACTCACTAACTCCTGCCCTTTTTATGTCTGCAGATGGCCAACGTGACGTTGGAATATTGCATGGATATTGTCGAGAAGTTCGAGGTGTCCGAGGAAAACAAGCAACAGAATGTCTTGGGAATCGAAGGTAATTAGAATGATAAATGTGTCTACTTTGATGCAGGATTCGTGGCAGCAAACGGAATATGGAATACAAATGGAACATAAACGTCTGTTTATGATGTGCACTAAAGACAGGAGGAAAGGCTTGGGTCGAGTTGTCATTCCGCCTGGACTTGTACAGTCCGGATGTTAGTGCAGATGTTATCTAGTGCAACGTAATTAAGATAATTAGGTAAATGGGTTAAGATTGATTCTGAGCTGCACCAGATTGATTATACAGCGAAATTCTGCTAACTCGACCCTGGCTTAACCTGTTGCTTGTAGTTTGTGCTATTGCCAAATACTGTTGTTTTTCTCCCAGGGAGAGCCTCAATATTCCAGTTCTATTGACGTCAGGATACACTGATTTGGCCTTACTGACAACCTAAACTGTGATGGTGCAGATCGTCTGTGTGATGGGATTAGTATAGGGTGCCCTGGGGTCAGGTCTGACTGGTCTATGAAAAATTGAGCCCTTATAATGGCTTTGGTGATTTAAAACAAATTAAGGAAAATAACTGTATTTTTCCATTTCATTTTTTAAACAAATACTGCAGAGAGAAGGCAAAGTCTTATCGCTTTATCTCTCTCAGCTGCTCTCCTTCATGTTTTCATGGGAGGATAATAATAAAATCCTTGCATTTTCATGCAGCGCCTTATCACATCTTCAAGACGTTTCAAAGTGCTTCACAGAGTAATACTCTAAAGTGTAGTGACTGTATATTTTGTGGACAAAAGGATGGTGGGTGGGTATTCTGGAGGGATGAGATCAGATGGGCTAAAGAGCCTTCTTCACCCAAGCAACCTTGTGATCTTGAGTATCTCTTAACCATCTCTTAAGTATCTGGGTGGTTGGGAATTTGAATGAAATATAGCCGTGAGAGTCTGTATAACAAGTGACCACTGACTGAACAAGTCACACGAGAGGCACAGAGATTAGTGCAGGACAACTTAATACCATTTGATATAGTCTTATCATGTCATTGAGACGTCTCGAAGCGCTTCGAAAATAATATCTGGTGATACAATGTATATGTTGGGACATGACATGTCAGGCGACTGCCAGGATGGTAGCAGGCGAACTAGATAGACCTTGGTCTTCTTTTGCCAGCAAATTCTTGTGCTGTGTCTCTTTCACTTCTCTCCTCTTGTGTCTAGGTTTCACAGACTTCATGCGCAGTCCCGCAGCTGATATATTCAATGCTTCTCATTATGAATTGAATCAGGATATGGATCAGCCACTGTGCAATTACTTCATAGCCTCGTCGCACAACACGTACTTGACAGGAGATCAACTCCTCTCGCAGTCCAAGGTGGACATGTATTCCTGGGTTCTGCAGGCTGGTTGCCGCTGTGTGGAAGGTTAGAGTTCTACATTTGCTTGCTTGAAATTCTAGGCGTTCGTCCGCTGCTGAAAATTGTGTGGCCCGATTGATGAGACTCCTCTTCTCCTTGACCAACGTCATCTAACTAGTTCAGAAAATCTGATTCTGCTCCTCTAGGCTGTAATTGAGTATCAAATATTGATGAATGAACGTACAGCCAAATAATGAACTTCAAAGCTCGAGGCATGGAAAAGGCGAGAAAGATGTTAAATGGAATGAAATGTCAAGTGTGTAGAAGTGGTGATTTCCTGTGGTTCTCGTTTCCCAATTTACTGTTTTTTTTCTGGGTGCCGTACAGGACAGGCTGTCATGTTCTCTGTGATCTCGGTTAGTGCATTAGACCCCTGTGATATAACTCTTCATTATAACGCAGGTCATGATGTAGTGCAATTGGGGTGGTGACTCTGACATTTATTAGCCCCCAAATTCCCTAGTACATGTCAATAACCAGCGAGCTTGCTTCAAAGCCACTCACATCACTTCCTGTTTGCTGCTCATACAACAACTACTCGCATTTATATTGTGCCCCTCACGTGGAGTAGCAATATGTGCAATAAATTTATTGCAACATGTGCAATAAGTACTGAATCGTTGATTGGTGGTCATGATGATGACCCATTAAAACACTGGCTGGGATTTTATGGTCCTTAATTTCTAGTACTGTAACTGGCTCTCTAGTGTTCAAAATACTTCCTTGTTTTCAGTTGATTGCTGGGACGGCCCTGATGGTGAACCAATCGTACAGCATGGTTATACCCTCACCTCCAAGGTACTCTTCAAAGACGTTGTTGAAACAATCGACAAATATGCTTTCATCAAAAACGAGTAAGTCGGGCCTTTTGTTATCCTAATCGAATGTTATTTCTCCCCCCCCACCCCCTCCCAGGGAAAAAAAAATCTGTAAAAGGTACCGGTGTGACTAAGGAACAATTTTCTGTTGTCTCTGCTCCTCTCATTGTCAGGTACCCTGTGATACTGTCCATTGAGAACCACTGCAGCATCCAACAACAGCAAAAGATTGCTGGCTATTTGAAAGATATCCTTGGAGACAAACTGGACTTGTCCTCAATACAAATGAGTGACCCAAAGCAATTTCCCACTCCTCAGAGTCTGAGAGGCAAGATTCTTATCAAGGTAATTTTCTCCTCGAGGTAAAATAGGCATTGCAAGTAGCTCGTGGGTAGAACACTGAAAAGATCAGGTTATTGGGGGAAGGGAGCTGAATTGTTAGATATTCAGTCAGTTTTTACCAGCGTTCTCCTGAATGCGGTACTTTCAGATCCTTGTTCCTTTTTCAATTTTGTAAAAGTTTATAGCTCTTTATCTTTCAAAAAAAAAAGCCTCAGTCCACATGCTCGCTCATATGTGTGTGTGTTTTTACTATACATATATATATTATATCATGTATATATAATATATATATACACACACACATATCCACACACTACCCTCTCCCCCCCCCCACACACACACACACTTGTTTTTAAATATCTGGTTAGAGTTCTGACAAACACGCTCGCAGTTCTCGTGGTGTTCCGAGCCTGACGGGCCATCAAGTGAATGCTGCTGAAGTGCTAATTATTAACCATAATTAAACTGTCGAGACGCTCGGGTGAGGCTACTGTTCTTTGCTGTGCAAGGCTAAGCTCGATACAAACATTGAGGAAGATGACGTGGCTGACTGATTAAAAGGCACTTAAATTAGTACCAAGTAAATTCATTCTCGAAAGAAAGCAGAAATAGCCCAGATTTAGCTGATGCTAAAGCAATTTCTTTGAGGCTTAGAAAAAGTAAAATTAATCGTGACAAAGGTCAGAATCCAGTTGAATTATAACCAATGCTGTTTTAGTTGTTAGGACCAATGATTAGACAAACTAAGGCATTTGAATCTTAAAAGAAGGCCTCGTTAAGGGGACTTATGGAGGGATACAATAATTTAAATGGGATTAAAAAAGTAAACTAGGAAGACTGGAACACATCGCTAGGAATATAAGTATGATTAAGAGCAGAACATTGGGACTCATTTTAAAAAAAACAGCTTCATGCTGTGATAGGAAGACATGAAGCTATGTATTCTGGAGGGATGAGATGAAATGGGCCCATGGAATTCTTCATCTAAATCCATCTTGTTATTTCAGGGAAAGAAACTTGCTCCTGACGTTGGGGCCGATGAAGAAGAAGGGGAGGTGTCTGATGAAGACAGCGCAGATGAAATTGAAGAGGATTGTAAACTGGAGCAAATCAATGTAATTCTTAACACTTTTTATCTCAAGTAAATTCTGATCCAATGCTGTGTCAAAAATAACTCCTTTACGTTGTGGAAAGTGATCAGCGTTCATCCAAACACACAGGCAAGAGCTTGGTTTAACATCTGTGAAGGATGTGGAGACTGTAATTTAGTGGTTAGACCGCTCACCTCGTAAGCGAGAGGACCTGGGTTCAATTCCCGGGCAGGGTGAACGTTGGACAAGTTTCCTTACTCCACACACACGCCTCTGTTTACCAGCAGTAAATAGGAACCCGGTTGTTGGTCGATTGGTGGATCACTTTTTCAGGGGGAATAATCCCTTCAAAGCAAAAATAAATTTGAAGTGAGGGGCACAATATAAATACAAGTTGTTGTTGTTATTCTCTACATCTAATGGCTTGGACCAAACTTTCCAATGAAAATGGTTGTATTTGAAAAGTTGTCGAGGCAAGGATTCGAACTTGTAATTTGACATTTCGTAACAAGGGCAGTCATGTTCTGGATATTTGTGGTGATGTGACTTGGAAGGAAAGTGTGTAAGCGTTATTGAGGAACTCCATTAGTCATTTTCTCCAAGAATAAAAATGTTTATTGCCATTCTTTTGACAAGCCAGGTGGATTTTAGTCCCAAATGCCATCAAGTAAATCACTTTGGTGTTTAAAAAAAAAACCACATAACGTTGCCAGATGAAGTGGTAGAACAAATGTATCTAAGCATAATTGCTGAAAATTGACTCCAGCCATCCATTAGCAATGTAAATAATGAAAACTTGCCAGGGTAGTTATTGCACTCATCTGTTCCATTTCATCCATCTATAACCAGATGGTGCTGTGTAGACCTGGGGGTAAAAAACACTGTAAAGCAGCATTGTGCAAGGATACTTCGAGTTTATTTTAGGAGTATTGAAATGACATAGAACCTTTTATGGTTTTATTGATTGTTTGCAGATTTTTTGCCGCTTTATGCAGTCTGACTTTATCTGGGAAATTGCTGTGCACAAATCGCCTGCCATGTTTGCCTACAAATACAGTTACTCCGCTTAATCCTGTGAAGCGCTTGGAGATGTTTTGATGATAATATTAATAAGCGTTGCATTTGATATAGCGCCTTATCACGTTTTCAAGACGTCTCAAAGTGATTCACAGAAGGTGCAGTTTCTGTGTATTTTGTGGGCGAAACGATGATGTGATATGTCAAACGCAAGATTAATTATTATTTAATTCAGATGAGCTACAGCTGCATATTCACATCCCACTGGAGCTTAGTACTTAATGCTGTTGTCCTCACTGGGTAATGTTGCTCATTGCTTTTCAGTCAATACGCAGCAGTATGATGCCAAGATAATTTATCTTATGAGAGTTGTCGGTTTAGTTGTTTAATATTATTCTTGGAAAAATAACCTATGCGTTTGTGATCACACACAGAGTAATGGCACAAATCATCCTCAAATGGAATCCTTTATCAGGAAAAAACTGGACTTTCTGCTCAAAGAATCTCAAATCCGTGACAAAGAGGATCCAGACAGTTATACAGTCTGTGCCCTGCTCCGGGCTACACATGAGGGTCTGAACATGAATTTACAACAGGTAACATCTGACGTCCGATACACTTTACAAATACATTGCTGAGTGAGTGCTTTTCTTTGGAGCGTTCCAGTCATTGTAATGACTGTCCATCCTTCATCTCTCCAGTGTCTTTATCGTCCATGGCTAATTGCTTGGAAACTTCGCAACCTGAATGACCCGACTCAGTTGAAAAGACCCTACAATTTATTTCTTTTGAAAACTGGATCACTCTGCCTTTTTTTTTTTGAACAACAAAACGTCTAAAGTTCCCATGTAGCGAAAATTGTCAAGTACAAAATCAATGTGTTCATAGAGTTGTGATTGCAATGAGTGAACGCACGGCATTTTGGTTGTAACAATTTCTTCTCAGTGTTTGTCTCGCAGCAAATCGAGTGCTCTGAACAACAGAAATGGGATGAGAAGTTACACTGGGATAGAGATTTAATTTGAACAGCAGAAGACATAAATGTTTGGTGTGGCTTGGTTTCAGAAACCAAACCTGCCTGAAAGGGTAATCATGCCCCCAAGGGTAGAATTGATATGGTTAGAAACAGTCCAGCTGCTGGATTAGTAAGAGTTGTGCAAAGTAAGCTTTTGTTCCTCGTCTTATGTTTCACTTTTCATCTTTTTTCCCCCTAGAAATCTGAGGTCAAGGAAAACGTCAAAAAAAATCAAAACCGATCATTCATCAGCAGCTTCTCCAAACACAAGGTTATTATTATTATTATTATTATTTTTGAAAATTTTCCAAAAAAGGTTTTAATGGAATAAAGTGCGGGAACCCTTGAAACAATCAAACAATAAAATACACGGACTTGGGTTTGTATGTAAGTATTTCCATCGTATGTGAGGTAAGCCATGTGTTGTGGCATTTCACAACGCATTCCTTAAGAACGTAAGAATTTGCTGGGAGAGAAAAGACCGAGGTCCATCTAGATCGCCTTCCACCATCCTGGCAGTTGACATGTTCTGTCCCAAACTATATACTGTATCCTGAGATTTTTTTTGAGCAGAAATCTATCCAATTTGTTCTTGAAACAAACAACATTTTCTTCTTTCACCGTCTGTCTCCCTATTAAACTCATCACAAGAAGCTCATTACAAAAGAGTTTCAGATCAGTGTAGCTGTCAAGGTTATTGCACTTAATACACAGTGTTGCATTTGAGCATCAAACATGATTTTATTTCTTGCAAACAGAAAAGTGGAAAATCCAAAGCCAAGTCGCACACTCCAGAAGAAGACGAGGTTCGACAGGATTGCACAGGAAAGGAAACTGGGCAATCGCACAGGTCAGGGATATATTCAAAGAATGTAAGAGTGAGCCACATTAAGACATTTTCTTTTGTTTCCAAATTTATTTTGCAAATTTTTGATATTACTCCATGCTTAAAACTGCTAATTCGACCTTTCGATTCGTATTCCTTACCCCAGAAATTTGTCCTGATCATTTTGTCCTCAGTTGCCAGCTCTATCTATTGAGGGGAAAAAAATTGTCTTTGACACTGAAGCAATTGCATCAAGATTTAGAATCGTGTGACCTGAGGCTTTTGTCCCAGCTGCGCTGTAAGCGGTCTCAGCAGGGATAGAAAGTCCATCATTTTTTGGGGACGTGGACAAGAAGTAAAGACGTTCACATGAAATAAAACCTTACACGCTGTTTGGTTGTTGGCTCTTTTGCTGATAATAATAATAGTCCTTGCATTTGATATAGCGCCTTATCATGTCGTTGAGACGTCTCAAAGCGTTTCACAGAATATACCATAAAGTGTCCTACAAACAGTCGGGAATTGAGTGACCAAATTATCATCATTATTTCACGTGTTATGCCTGTCTAAGCGCTCCGAGATGTTAACCTATGTGAAGGGTGTTCTATAAATAAATGCAAGTCAGTGTTGTTGCTGTCAGAGCTAATCAGTGAAGAGGTTGGTACAAGTTCAGCCATGGGTTACATCTCACGTAAAGTCTGTAAATGTTTCTCTGTAGGATGGGCCGCCGCAGGAAGACTATGAAGCTTTGCCGTGGGCTTTCGGACCTGGTTGTGTACACCAACTCTGTGACCTCGCAGGACATTTTGGGGCAAGGTAAGAGGAACCAGAGAGTAATAATAATAATAATCCTTGCATTTGATACAGTGCCTGATCACATCTTCGAGACGTCTGAAAGTGCTGCACGGAATATACTGTAAAGTGAATTGACTGTATATTTTGTGGGCGAAATACGGCAGCCAATTGTGTGCAGCAGCGTCCCCACAAACAGTCGTGGATTTTGAAGGAGTTATTACCCCCCACCCGGAAAAGCGATCCGCCAATCTGTCCAGTGCGTATGGGCTGTTGATTTTTCCCTGTTGTTTGCTGATGTCCCTGCTTCTGTTTGGACAGGTACCGCCGGGAACATTTTATCCTTAAGTGAGACTCGAGCACATCAACTCCTGCAACAGAAACCCGAACAGTTCATGAATTTTAACCAGAAACAACTGACCCGAGTCTACCCTTCAGCGTACAGGATAGACTCCAGCAATTTCAACCCACAGCCCTACTGGAATGTCGGCTGTCAGATGGGTAGGTGCATTTAACTCTTTTTTTTAACCATTTCAGTTCTGAGAATACCAATTCTCTTGCTCTAAGGCTTTTGATTTCCTTCCCAACTTCAATGTCCACTTGACCCTCCCTTTGGTCGAGGGAGGACAGTGCAGGGTTGCTTGGTCGCTGGTGAGCAGAGAAAGGAAAGGAATGGAGGTGATCTGTTGGGGAGTTCAAAAAAGATAAATGCTTGTTAAGGTATTAAAACATGGAAGAAAGTGGGGTGAATTGAAGCGCTGCCTTACATTTAATGTTCTCTATGATTTCCAGGCTAGTGTGAGTTAGTTTATGGACGCAAATCAGTGCAATCGTTAAAATGTAATTAATTCCTTGAAATCTGTTTTGGAGCAAAGACATACTTATTGGTTGGGGGGAAAGAGGATAAAATGCTGAACCATATTTTCTCTGTGTTCACAGTCGCTCTAAACTACCAGACTGATGGCCGAATGATGCAATTAAACCAAGCACTATTCATGGTGAATGGAAATAGTGGATACGTCTTAAAACCCCAACTCATGTGCCAAGGTCTGTCGATTTCAAATAATTTCATATCAAAATTGATTTCTTGTCTCTGTAGAACCAGAAGCTGAGAATATGTGCATACAGATAGCCTTGGTTTAATTTCCAACAAGATTTTTAAATCTGCCGGCAAGTTAAGAGCCCAGGAACAATCCTGCTGCCTCCTGTTTGTCCCTCAACCCCTCCGCTCCACCATCGGTGGCCGTGCCTTCAACCACTGCGCTCCGAAACTCTGGAACTCAATCCCTCAATCCCTCTGCCTTCCCCCTCCCTCCCCTCCTTCAAATCCCTCCTCAAGTCCTTCCTTTTTAATCGTGCTTACAGTCACCTCCCCTCGCCTCCTGGCGCGGGGTCAGACTCCGCCACGGTCAAGTGCTCCGGGACACTACCCCGCATGAGGGGTGCTATATAAATGCAATTTGTTGTTGTTGTGTGACTTAATGTGCCACTTATTTCTTGGGATTAGCTGCATTTCAGATGTGAAACTGGTTCCTGATCTGTTCAATTCTCATCATAGGAGCTTTTAACCCTTTCTCTGAAGATCCTCTTCAGGGACAACCAAAAAAGCAGCTGATCCTGAAAATCATCAGTGGCCAACAATTGCCAAAGCCTCCTTATTCCATGCTGGGTGACAGAGGAGAGGTAATGTATACTTATTACTTCATGATTAAAGGTGGCCGGCACTAAATGTCTGAGTGTCTCACTGCACCATTATCTTATCACATAAAGTGGACCATTTTAGTGAATTTCATCATTGCAATCGAGTGTCTTGCTCGACCCTGCAGAAGGTGCTCTGAACCAGAACATCGCTCTTATTTATAGTGCTCTCTCTCTCTCTCTCTTTACTTGATTAACCCTCAACAGATAATTGATCCCTTTGTGGAAGTGGAAATTATTGGATTGCCGGTGGATTGTTGTAAGGAACAGACGAGAGCAGTTGATGACAACGGTGAGTTTTTCATTATCCATGTGTGCTCTGTGGCTGTCACTGTGTGCCCTTGATGAGAGTGTCCCTGATAGACGTGGGAATAGAGAGAGAAAATGCTCATCCACATCCTCGGCTCAGCCCCAGGTACTTGCGTAATACAAGTCCGTGCACATGTGTATTGGTGGTGTAAACTTGACTCGTTTGTGGGTGCTTGTGTTTTTTTTTAAAAAAAAACTTTATAAATTGACACTGTCCTCATCCATCGTTGCAGCGCTCTGATCATTGTTCGGGACGTCCTCCCGACGTGAAAGGTGCGGTACAAATGTAATTCGCTGTTCTTGACAACTCGGCAAAGATCGATATGATTCGAACCTGCCGTCAGTAAGTCTGTATACCCGGGTGCTGCTCTTTCTAACTCCTAGGAGCAGAATCATCACGCGTCTGGGGAAGACATTCTGCAAAATCACTTCCGTTATCCAAGTTGGTGAACAAGTTGGTTTTAAAATCGACTGAATCACCACCCCCCCCCCCCTTTCTCACATGCTTCCACAAGAAGTTAATGATGTAAATCTTTTTGAAGAGATTCCAGTCACTGTTGAGAGTGAGTGTACAGCCAGAATTCATGCACTTGTCTGCAGAGGACCTCAGGGAAATTAATCCGGATCAGATCTATTAAAGCTGCTAAATTGGACATTCAGATTTGTAGAGATGGCCTTTTCTTTTTTTTTAAAAAAATACTTAATTTCAATTAAGTTTGAAACGTTGCATTTCAAAGGTTGATCTGACTCCTATTGAATTTATCGCTTTTTCTTCTAACGAGAATAATAAATTGACAGTGTCGGTTATCAAGCCCTCGCCTAATCCTTATCTGTTCTCCTGTACCCGTCTATTCCCAGTCTCGCTCATCTATGCATCAAGCTTTCTCTTAAATACATCGATGATGTCTGCTTCAACAATCAGCAGGCTGTCAGACTGAAACAAACACGGATCATTTGTTCAATTCTTTTTTTTTAAAAGAAGAAGCATCTTGTGATTTGGAGCAGAAAATGTTGCTGCAGGGTTTAATGTAATGAATGTGATGGGATGAGCAACAAAAACATGAACAGAAGATGACTATTGAACCAATGCAGTGACAAACGCAGTGTAACTTTAGGAGAATAAATTGGAAGGGGGCGGGTGGGTGAGGGGCGGGTGGGGGTTGGTGGGGAAGGGTTGAAGAGCGGGAGGTGCAAAGGAGAGTCCGCAATTAAAGTTGGGAAATAAAAGTGGAATTGTAAACCTCGCCTTTAGGATTCAACCCTGTTTGGGAAGAGACCATGACGTTCACGGTCCACATGCCTGAAGTAACTCTGGTTCGCTTTCTGGTCTGGGATCACGATCCGATCGGTAGGGATTTCGTGGGTCAGAGAACGGTGGCCTTCAGCAGCTTGATGCCAGGTGGGTGCAAATCTCTGCCTCGCTCGCTCACTCTCTTCGGTGTCGGCCTTTGGTAATTGCGCTGGGACTGACGTGATGGATGGTGGTAGATTTATTCTCTCTGCACAAGTAACACGGGGCATTTCTTTTTGCTTTTACGAACCCTTTTTGCAGGATATCGTCATGTTTACCTGGAGGGCATGACGGAAGCTTCAATATTTGTGCACGTGATGATCCACGATATTTATGGCAAGGTACGTGCATTCTCCGCTCCAGTTTGCTGAAGCTTTCTTCGAGGGGGGGTTTAGTTTTCGGTGTGTAAGCTTCACCTAAAGACTTTCCTTTGTTGATGGTGCTTACGGTTACGGGGTGATGCCCGATAACAAGCAAGAATTGCGTGGCTAAGTTCCACGGGTACAGAGTGGCTTCAAGCTGTCAGGAAGGAGATCGACTTCAGTGTCCAGTGACAGGCTTTGCATTGCTGTAAGTGAACAATTCGATTATTTTTAAACCCGGTGGAAAATGAAAACCATTTCTTTTTACTTTCCGCTTCTTTAAATTTGGAAGGTTGACGGTTCTTTTCCTCCCTGATACTCTCTCCACAGGATCGTGGAAAATTGCGATATTTTCATTACTCCTTTAAACCTGAGCATTTACGTGACATTTTTAACCTTGTTTTATGTTCGACAAAACAAGAAGGCATGAAACAGACAGAGTGTTTTTACTTGGAACGAGGAGGGGGAGAAAGAGTAATGTTCCCGACACATTCATTATTTGTACATTGCTGTGCGCAATTGGCTGCCGAGTCTCGGCCACAAAATATACAATCAATTCACTTTACAGTGTATTCTGTGAAGCGCTTTGAGACGTCTCAAAGTTGGGATAAGGCGCTGTGTCAAATGCATGGTTTATTATTATTATTATTTATTGTTAATATGGTGATTCCAGCCGCTTGTCTCTCTTTGGTAAAATAGGCTACTTTTTTAAAAAAAAAATTGGACCCTTTTTGCTCGTCTTGGAACTTGAAAGATTGTGTTTTGATTCACAACTAAGTGGAAATAACGTTAAGGCAAAGAGTCCTGTAGTTCAGTGGTTGGAGCACTCGCCTCGCAAGCGAAAGACCTGGGTTCGATTCCCGGCAGGGCGAAACATTGGGCGAGTTTCCTTACTCCACACACCTGATAATACTACCTCAAAAAGAAAAAAAAACAATAATAAAATTGGTCCCTTCAATCCACGACTGTTTGTGGGGACACCTCTGTGCGCAATTGGCTGCCACGTTCCACCCACAAATATACAGTCAATTCACTTTACAGCATATCCTGTGAAGCGCTTTGAGACGTCTAGAAGACGTGATAAGGCGCTGTACCAAATGCATTATTATTATTATTTATTTTCAGAAGAGGAATATATACACAGTATGGAAATCTGTGTTTATCTCTCTCTGCTACATATCAAAATATATCAAATGCAAGGATTATTATTATGTTATTTTAAGGTGGAATGTTTCAGATTTCTACTCGTGTTCACAAAATGTGCTGTAAATGTCTCGCTCTGTGTCTACACAATGATTTCGACAGCAGTTTCCTACAACTTACTAGTCGTTGAACGTTACTGTAATTGCATATCATTATTGCCCTGTTCATTCCAGTTCCTGCAGTCATGACTGTCAGAAATAATGAAATAGGAAACTCGTGTCCTGTACAAATCATTCAACTTGTGGAATTGGGATCTTGCTAATGTCATATAGATCGATCAGGCGAACTATACAACTGGAGAAGCACATTAAAGGGTAACTCATGTGGACTTCATTGCCACACAATGAATAGGAAACTGGGTCACTGTTGTGTGTTTACAGTGAGTGTTTGTACATCCACTGTATAAAGTAGATTTCTGCAATAATTGCGCATTCAGTCAGAAAGACATGCTCTCAGTAATTGGAATGGTATATGTTGGGGTAAGTATAGCATCAGAATTGTGTTTGCCTCAAATCTGCTCTGAAACTAGAACCATTCCTAATATTTTTTTTGTGTGGTGGTTTCTGTTTTGATTTGTGTTGTACTTTGAGTTTGAGTTTCAAAATGCTTTTAACACTTCAATGAGAAGTAATGATGTCATTGTAAGTTCCTTGTGCCAATGTCTTTTTCCAAATTCTGTTTATATGTAAACAGATTAGCTACTGTTTTTGCTGTGAGACGGAGAGCGAATGCTGATATTTGAGCTTTATTGTCTGTGTGGAGACGGGTTAATATATAAAAGTAAACTTTAAACAATTTTTTGTAGTTTAAAAATAGAATCTCTTTCTATGCTTCATGTTGTGCTCAGTTCTCCTGTCAATCATTGTATTCCACACAGGCACTTGTGATACAAATGGTTTGATAACAAAGGCTCTCATCTTTGTGTGCAGACTCTTGTGGATTTCATGTGAGCAATAGTTTGACGGAGACGAATGTAGAAAAAGGGAAAGGAAGATCAAATACAACAAAGTACAAAATATAAATAATAATAATAATCCTTGCATTTGATAGAGCGCCTTATCACGTCTTCTAAATGTTTCAAAGCGTTCCGAAGTATATACTTTAAAGTGAATTGACTGTATGTTTTGTGGGCGAAACGCGGCAGCCATTTGCGCACAGCATCTTCCCACAAACAGTCGTGGGTTGAAGTGACCAATTCATTTTTTTTTGAAGGAATTACTACCCCCAGAAAAGCGATCCACCAATCGACTAATAATCGGGTTCCTACTTCCTGCTCAGTAAACAGAGGCGTGTGGAGTAAAGAAACTTGCCCAAGGTTTCGTCCTGCCCGGGAATAGAACCCACTGAGCTACAGAACTCCAGATACAGGATATAAAAGCAGAAATTGGGAGAGAATCAATGCTACCGAAATCATTGCAGGTTTCAAAGAATAATTTTCCAAAGCTACAAACCCAGAAAGATAATGAACATCATCTGCCAAACATTAAAGGCCAATTTATTCGCAATATTCTTTACTCTCGGAATATGGAGAGCAGTGTTATTGAGAGTCTTGCACAGACTGCAAAACTGCATCTAAAAGTAAAGTCCATGAATGTCCAAAAGTAACTTTTTGCCTTAAAATTACTGGATAAATAAGATAATGGACCGGATTTAAATATGTGCTTCAGTCGAAAATACTGGTCAGTCGTGAAGAAATCTTAAAACCGAGTTACAAGCAAAATCCACAGTAAAGCTCCTTGCGCAGGAGAAGAGCTGACAACATCAACAGCAATTTGCACTTATACAGCACCTTTTCCATCGTGCTTTACAAAACCGAGTGTGAGCTTGAGTTGGGAGGAAAGTGGCTGAAGGCGCAATCACAGTGATGGGTCTTTCAACGGTTTTGAAAGTCTAGAAGGAAGGGGGCAAGGCAGTGGGGTCTTCTAGACTAACATTAAGGAGAAAAGGCAACACAACTTGAGCAGGAAACTGCAGGTCAGTTTATATAAATGCAAGTTGTTGTTGTTTAATAGGTAACAAACAGCACTTTCCTAAAACTGGTAGGACCTAAAATTGTACCTTTTTTTAAAAAAAAATACAAGTTGTCATTTTACCGGCCTAAATTAACTGTGTGTAGCAGCTCATCAACAGAATACGATCAGTCGATGTCTTGCTGTTTTCTGTGGGAGAGGAATCGAGTTTTCGTTCTTGTGTGGTTCCCAGTAAAACGCTCCTTTAATTGTGTTTGCCTTACAGTGGAGCCCATTAATTATCAATCCAACTTGCACTGTTATGCACATTGTAGGTGCCCCGAAGGTAGTGCTTCTCAGCATGAGTTTGTGAGCTGATGTGTTCTGTGCCATTTGCAAATCTTGCTTGGTGATGAATTCGGGTGTGAATGTTTTTTTGCACTAATGGATGGCAAGTTGGCAAGGCTTTCAGTGCTGCATGAAAATGATTGACTGGGATGAATGGATGCGATCGATGGCTGTCATTTTTCCGCCATAAACCACCGGCATTCTTCACATCTTTATCCCTGTTAAAGAAGATGAACGTGCGTATCGCAAGGCAGTCAATCAAAATCCATTGATCCAAATTTTCCCCAATTCCTTCGAGCAATTTTTGGATGCAGGAAACTGACACAGAATATTGCATTCATACAATTATATGGAGGGACTTAGGTATATCTGGATTTGAAACACTTTATATTTCCTTTTTTTCTTGCCTTTCCACCCAAATAGACCGTGGGCTTTTAAGGTTCAGTGGACGCTGGAGGTGGTCAATCTCCCAAGTGTGAGCGAGTCGCTGGTTGGTGCCAACAGGCTGTTTGACTGTGGAGAACATGACACCCGAGCCTAGCTCCTGACCCAAAGTCTATCCAAACCTATGTTTTTCAGCAGAGGTCACTGGGTAGTTGTCAAACACCCAGATTGATTTCTCCCCTCCTTAATTTAACTCCTTCCTCTTCCCCTCCACCAATAGCCCAAGGGCACTTTAATGCTATGACCAACATTACGTAACCCAGCGTAGAACTGAATTTGTGAACTTGTGCTCTGTATGGCTTTGTGCTACACATTGCAAGGCCGAGTGTCAAACCACTCAGACACCCTTGATGGGGGGACAGACAGGTGCGGGGTGGGGGGGGGGGGCGCGGGAGAGAGAGAAGCCAATTTCTTTTCTCTTCATGTATTCCGAGGCTTAATATGGAAAATTGCAACACTTGTTCAAGTCTTTACCAGGGATATGGGTACCGAGAACAATAAATGTTAACGCTTTCCAAAGCCATTCACACCAGTGCTGATGTACGCTGCCATTTCCCTTCTCCCGACAGACTCGACAACTCCTGGGACTCAAAGGCCTGTTCAACAAGAGCCCCAAGTATTCCTTCATGGACAACAACTGTGGCTACTTCATGCGAAAGAAATCCCTCGGGAATCGGATTCTCCGCCGCACCGCCAGCGCCCCTGCCAAGGGCAGGAAGAAGAGCAAAAGTCTGCTCCTGGAAACGCTGAGCGAAGCGAAAGAGCAGGAACCCGATCTGTCCGACTCCCAGGAGAAAGGAACGCGAGCCAAGCGAGACACCAAAAAAACCCAAGCAAGACCCGTTTCCATGCCGGTCGACAAGTTGCTCGATGGAGATATGTCGCCACCTGCTGGTGAGATGGAAGACGACCGCAGTGGTAAGTGCGTTGATGCACCAAAGGCAAATCATTTCAAGCAACTGTACAGTCCGGGCAATGAAGAGACGGTAGTGTAGAAAGTGGTTGCTTTTCCTCCAATGTGCTTCCGTCCAACCGAACAGGAGGTTAGGAAACGTTGTCCAGGGCGTCCTGTGGCTTTAAGAATTTCATGCCATTCTTGTGCTGTATGAGCCAAGTCAGGTTCCACCATCTGTCGCAAACGAGCTTTTCTTTGATTCTAAACTGCCCTCCGTTGCTTGTTCTTTATCTGAGAGAACTCCAACCCAGCTGCAACGTGTAGATCTGCACAGGTTTCCCAGCCAGTATCTGTACCACAGACGATTGTTTGCTGTATGTATGGTCTGTGTAAGAAGTTCCACTTCTGCAAATGAAATCTCCATGTAGCCTATCTCCTGTTCCGTGCCCTGATGCCTCTTGTATTCCATTCCAACAATCTATCTCTGGGATTTCCGAGTGTAGATGGGATGTGTGGAAATCTCAGCTTGGTTTGGAGACTCTTAAGCACGGTGCTGGGTTTCCCCATGTGTCAGGCACACGGCTGACCAAAAAGAAAAATGCCTCTTGCAGCTGCTGCTTTAATTTGAGGGGTCACGTTGCTTTCATTGTCTGTCCGTCTCAGTGCTATGTCCACTTGTCAAAGAAGTGGGGGTTGGGTTGCGTTCCGAGTGAGACTTTGGGAGTTGAGTACCAGACCTTAAATGTGAGTGCAATGGCATGAATTTCCTTAAGGTTCAGTTTCCTTAAGTCATCCCATTCCCCCCCCTCCTTCATGTGAGCGAGAGAGAGAGAAGTCAGAGTGAGTATTTTTAAGATAATGCAGTTCGTTGAATCTAATTTGATGTAATCCTAATACAGAGTCGCTCTTCAACACATCACAATATTGGGAAGATCCCTGAACGTTTGCCTAGGCTTATAGTGAAGTGGATACTCATAGAATCATAGAATATTACAGCGCAGAAGGAGGCCATTCGGCCCATTGTGCCTGTGGCCGGCTCTTTGGAAGAGCTCCACAATCAGTCCCACTCTTTCCCCAAATCCTTGCAATTTTTTCCTTTTCTAGTACCTATCCTATTCCCTTTTGAAAGTTGTTATTGAATCGGTTTCTACCGCCCTTTCAGTCAGTTTGTTCTTACGCTACATGACAAAATGAATGGTTAAATCACAACTTGTGTTTTTTTTAATTAAAAAAAGCATTTTTTTTGTAAACTGGCGTCTTTTGTATGTAATGTAGGAGCAATTTGCTTTTTTTTTTGTTTTTTTCTCCCATCTATTTGTGCTATCGTCTGTGCTGTGCCTTCTCTTTGGCCGATAGCCTTGTTGGTGATCTGGTGAGAACTGATGTCAAAGCCTCGATTGACTTTGTGTTGTTCATTCCCTTCCTGTAGCAAAACACCCCACCTGCTATAGTCGCTCTTATTATAGTGCTTAATCCAAGCACTCTGTGATACAGATCAGCAAGCAATAGATCAGAAAGCAATGAAGCACATTTATTCTGCTTTTTCTTTAAAAAATACACATTAAAATTAGATTCTTGTTTTCGTTTAGTAACATTTGGGGAAGGGGGGCAGTACATTTGTGAAAAGGTTTTTATCCTCTGGTAAAAATGTGAAGCAGATATTTATGCCTCATTCAATTTATCATAAATTAGTTTCTGTATTTTACAGTCGAGCCGTGAATTGTCTTTTTTCTCCCCTCATTTCTCTCCTCTGTGATTTTTTTAAAAATGATTTACTGTACTTACTGTGTAGCTGAAATTTCAGAATTAATTTTTAACAAAAACTCTTTTTGTTCCTGTTCTGTCTTTACTGTCGTGCTTCTTTATAGTTCAAAACTGACTAGGAAACCTCCGCAGGTAATCCTACACTTTCTGAGGAAGGCACTTCACTGATTAAACAATAAGTAACTGTTGTATTTGATGCAGCCCCTTACACGTCGGGAGGACGTCTCAAAGCGCTTCACAGGATTTACTGTGATGTGCAGTGGCTGTGTATTTTGTAAGCAAACGCAGCAATGCCCACAAACAGCCGTGAAATGGATGAACAATTTTATCCAGGGGAATTGTTGGCCAGGTTCCTGGTAGAGAGAAACTCCCTTCTCTTTTCGAGTAGTGCCAGGGGATTTTTAATATGGGATCTCCAACGATGCAGCACGTGCCCAGCGCTACATTGGAGGGTCAGCCTCGTCTACGTGAGTTGAAAGTTCCACGTTTGAAAGTTCCCCACGTGGGCTTCGAACCCACAACCTCCTGACTCGGAGGCAAGAGTGCTGGCCACTAAGCCAGGCTGACACGCGGAAACAAAATCAAGGGATGAAAACTGTCACCAAGTTGATCAAGTATTCCACAAACTTCTCCTATAGTTTATGAAATTTGAAAGATGAATAAACTAAGGTGTTTTCTCTGAGAGGGAGAAGTTTCAGTGAAGTACCTCCTCAATACATTTTCTCTTTCTTTCAACTTTTTATTTTAAGAAGAGTATTTTTTTTATGAAACCTGCATGTCTCCATAAACCTTTTTTTTGGACATTGCATCAACAAAATTGTGGATGTGAGTTTGGTATTGTACGATTTGTAATTCAGGCTGAAGGACAATATTGAAATCACACTGATGAGTGGGAACAGAATGTATTCATGACCCATGACATATTTCATATAAAAGTCAAAACGCCTGTCGTTCTTACCCATCCTCAACATTTGACAGAAACACTCACAAGATTATAGAGCAGTCGTCTCACACCAAGAAAGGTAAATACTATTAATGATCCTTGCGTTTGGGATAGCGCCTCTCATGCCAGGAAACAGATGGACTTGTACACCACATATTCCTTAGTATAAGTAAGTGAAAGGATCTTCTCACACCCCACGCCCCCTCAAGACTTCAAGCTTGTTTATTAGACAACTTCATGGGTGTTCACCCCTCCCCGCAGCCCAAATAATCACCTCTAGGCACTTCAACAAGAGCCACATGGTCCCCTCTACACTAACCATCACAGGGTTAAAGATGTGTCCATAGCAATAATAATATAAACTAACAAACAGTGATCTTTGTCGGGTGGGTTGAGCCCAGTAAGATCACCCTTTCAATAGACAGATCAAATAAGTATCACATTCTTAAAATAATTATTGTTAAGAATGGGAATCCATTCAGATTTTTAACTCCTCGGGCCCAGATTTTCTTTCGACACAAATGTTAAAGAGCTCAGACTGGATCTTTAGTTTGGGGATAACTCGACCATTTGTAGTTTGTGTTTCCAGAATCTAATTAACCCAATCACCGGCCTTACCTGTGCATCTTCATAAACAAATCCTTTGAATTATCTCTCAATTGCCATTGATGTTTATGTAATGAGAGAGAGGGCGGGACGGGCAGGGAAAGGAAGGGCATTTGTATACCTGTTTAACACTTGTTTGATCGTTTTGTTTCCTTTTGGCAGAAGTAAAACTGGAGCCACACTGGAGTAAACAGCGCTGTGCAGATGAGCTTCTGGTTCGGCCACCTGGCATTTCACCTCATCGCGTTCCGTTAACATCCTCGGATAGAGACCTAGGGTCCCACTCGCAAGAATTGACGGGGAATATTCTGGAAGCATTGGCCGTGAATTCAGATCATTCTTCACCAAATATCGTAGCTGACAACTGTAGTGTCTCGGTAATGAAACCCTGCAACGGTCCCATTGCTAACAGATCGGTCAAACCTGACGAGATGCGTGACCGGGGACCATTGTGTAAAAGTGAGGAATTGCGAGGTGAAGATGTTCAGATGTCAATCGAGCACATTGCCATCAGACCTCATCAAGAGCCAAGTCAACGGGCGACCACTTCCATCTCACTTTGCTTCAAGGCCTTTGTGGATGTGAAAGAGAAGCATGAACCCATTTTGTCTAATGGTTCTGTGCATGATATCACAATCGCTTCCAATTCTACCATTGACCTGTCCTCCACTGTCTCCGTTCACAATCTCGACACTTCACAATCTCTAAGTATGTCTCAGGACTGCACCATCTCTCATCTTATTAATGCCATGTCCTTGTCCAATGAGAGTGGGGTAGACAATTCTATCTCCGTGCTCATTTCGCAGTTTGAAGCCACTGACGACCAAACGACAGTTTCAAGTTTCCTCGGAGCCAACAACTGTACGTTCAGCTCAGTATCTGGACTGTCAGAGGTTCGCGGTTCAGAAACAATTGCAACGATGGACCCTCTGTACAGAGACATAAAAGCCAAGAAGCAGTGTTTGAACACGACGACAGATACCACAATCTTCTCCAGCCCTGAAACAGCAGAACATTCCACATACACAATCATTCACGATGACATTCTCTCACCCCTTTCCTTCTACGCTGCTGAAGATGCGAGAGGAGGAATGGTGGATGTGAGACAAGGTAACGCCTTGTATTCTCCGTCCATGTTTCCCAGCACTCCTATCGGCTCGGGTGTTCCCACAAACCTGTGTGTTTCCAGTGACCGGGAAGCTTCCTGGGGCTCCCTGGATGATTGCAGTTTGTGCCACAGTACAACCTCCAGCGTGGCGTCCGAGGACACCATTATTAACATGTCACTAAATGTAGACTCTGTTAACAGCAGCCTCATGGAAGTGAACGATCTAGAAGTTACACTGATGACCACAGAGAATTATGTCGATGACCAGGACCCAGAGCATCCGCCAGCAACATGGGACCTTTACCCCACAACACGCCCGGGTGGTATAAATGGCAGTGATCACTGGCATCTGGAGAAGGTCCCGGCTTTAGATGCAGACGACAAGGCCGTGTATCGCTCACCGAAAACTGGTTGGAACCAATTGCGTTCGGTTACAAGCAGGACCCCATCGGAGATCTGTTCCATTGCCACTGCCAATCAGTCCAGCACCTGTAAGTCCAAGAGTCTTGGAGATCTGACCTCTGAGGACATCACCTGCACGTTTGAAAGTAAATATAAATTCATCAGCAAAGGGTTTATCGCGCCGGGCATAAAAGACCGAGAACTGATGTCTTCCCTCGGTGACGTGCCACAGCCCGCAGCGACTCTCACTGAGCAACTCCGCAAACTTGTGTCCATGGAGCAGGAGGAGAACCATGAGAGAGACCCTGTGTACAGAGGACAAGAGCACGGTAATTACCAGAAGGGATTGATCAGAAAGCTTTCGTCCAGAAGCCAGAGTAGAGTGCGGTACATTGCCAATAGGGCAAAGCAGATTCAGGAAGCAAACAAGCATAGACTGGCCAATGGTTGCAGCACCACCGGTGTGGTTTTTAGGAACAAACCCCCAATACAGCACCACACAGTTAACAGGCACTCCACAGGCTCCTACATCGCTGGGTATCTCAACCAGTTAAAGGAGGAGAAATTGGAAGGTCGAGGTATCCCCGAGGGCTCTTGTACCTCACTCCATCACAGATACACTGACAGCTTCTACACAGATGATTCCACCTTGCAACCTGAGCCCAACTCTGTCAGCGAACCGGAAATCTATTTCTTACTCCGACTGTGATTTCACCTGTAAAAACACTTAAACGCAAACGTTTATGTTGAAAGTTTCTCGTCTTTGGTCCATTTCCTCAACATCCCAACAACCAAGTTGTCTTCTTTCCTGATTAAGACTTTCCGTTTCTGTGCCCAAAGTGTAGTGAATCTTGAACATACAGAAGTGCGTAGATTCTGTAGTTGAATTACCAGTCCATGTGTGTGTCCGTGTGTGTATACGTACGTACGTGCGCGCGTGTGTGTTTGTGTATATATATGTTTGTATATATTGTTCTTTCATTTGTTTAACTGCATTCTTTGGGAATGTTTGCATGGTTAGATCGGTTTACTTACTGAAACCTGATGCACAATCCGGTCTCTGTAAAATGGAAAAATTAGTTTCTGCAAATTTGCTGACCTATGTTCTTCCCTCTTTCCATTCGATGCAATAAACGGATCACACTGTCAACTGACAATCATTAAGACGTGAACTCCATTGTGCATCACCCATTGTGCTTTCCGGGGGTAATAATCCCTCCAAATTAATAATAATAATTTGGTCACTCAATCCACGACTGTTTGTGGGACAGTCCATTGGCATTTATCTGCCCTTCATGTCGGCTAACTTCTTCTGAGCTTACTCCTCTATCTTCCTCTCTGCAACCCAGGTCAGTCTTCCTTGCACAGCCCTGATTTGGCCTCTGATAACTTAATTAGATTGCTAGCTTTTTATGGTCCATCAATTTGGCCCTTATTGTAAGAACCTCTTTAAAGAGAAGCTTATTGATTCACCGACATGGGAGGAAACTATGTATTATCATGGCTTTAAAAAGCTGTTCAACCAAATGCTCCTATGGGCCAGAGAGGCTGAGAATGTGGCAGCAAATAGTTTCATCTCCTGACATCATCAGACTGCCAAGAAACCTGGGGCTGTTTGGCAAGAAAAAATACTTTGCTTTGGACATGACACCTACTTTCTGTTGAAACGCATTCTGTTGAGTCCAGCAAACATCAGCTCTGCCAAGTGGAGCATCTAACATGACGCTGAAGGCACAGGCTAAGTCAATTGTTTATTTAGGCTTTTGAGGAAGATAAACCCTTACGGTTTCACGCAGCGCCTTTCACTTTGGGAGGACGTCTCAAAGTACTTGACAGAATTCATTGATAAACTGCAGAGACCACGTTGTAGGTGAACGCAGTAGCCAATTTGCAACCGGGATGTCCCACAAACAGCCATCAAGTGACTGACCAATTTTATCTGTAGGAAGTATTGTTATTTACTCGGCTCGTGTATATCTGGAGATCAAATCAGGATGGAGGTGGATTTTTAAAAAGTTCTTTTGTATAATTCTCCTCGGTCATGTAACAAAGTTTATGTTGAGTTCTGTGTATCCCGGAATCATGTGATGTGTTGATAGACACTTGGCTGACTGTAGAGGAGGGAACACATCTGTGAGGCTCCATCACCATCCAACTCTGAACACCGCGAGGATTCTCTCAGTCTCTGAAGTACCAGCAGTCAATTTACGAGTAACATCTCCTCCGAGAGCACATTGTGTGCTTTCCCCATTGAGGAATTTAACAGTAACCACAGCTGTTTAGAGCACGAGATAATTACTTTCAATTCAAGAGGGAAGATGGGTCCATCTGGTTCATCGTTTTTAATGAAATCGTTCTAAAATTAGCTTCAGTGTGCAGCGTCTGCTGATCAAAATATTGCAGAAAATATCCTTGCATCTCAGGGTTAAAAGATTGTTTGCTTTCTGAATCCAGCTCTCAAAACTTGCTCGAACTTTAAGCTGATGCATCGACAAACGTATAGAGCACAAGACATGTCTGTGGTGCTGAGCATAATCTGCAAGTCTATGTGAGGGCATGTATTAGCAAGAGAAGTCCATTTCTCTTCCCCATACCCACCCACCGACTCTCACCGCAGAATAATAGGTTGGATGATAAGGCGGGGGTGGTCACTGTAACACACAGCTATAAGCAATACAGAACTCTGTGTGTTGAGCTCTGCAGTTGTCCCTGGGGGAAGGCGGATTGCGTGGGTAGATGAGAAATGTCTTTGCACCGTTGTAATTTAAGGGAGTTTGTGTAACGTTCTGTTCTGTGCACTTGGCTGCAGCTCACTGAAGCATGTGATAAATGTGAGTCAACAGCCTCTCACTGGCCTGAAGGAAGAGCAGAGACATCTGTGATGCTCTCTCACCAGCCAATTCCCCTCACCCTGAGGCTTCTGTTTGTCTCACAAGTGCTGGCGATGAGTTCCTTGTGTATATTTGCTCTTTCCTCTGAGAGACTCAACTCCTCGAGATGGGATTGTAAATTTAACAGGAACCGCAGGTGGTCGAGCTCCAGATAAATTGATTTCAGATAAACATGGGAACAGAAAACAATTGGGTTTGTGTTAATTACGTTTGTTCTAAAGTAACGCAGGGCATTCGATGACTAGTGATAGCTAAAAAGATTTTACTTACCCGCCAACCATTCTAAGAGAGTTATTATTATAATAATCCTTGCAGTTGATATAGCGCCTTATCACGTCTTCGAGATGGCTCAAAGCGCTTCAGAGAATATACTATAAAGTGAATTGATTGTATGTATTGTGGGCAAAACCCAACAGACAATTGCACACAGCAGCGTCCCACAAACAGTCGTGACTTGAGTGACCAAATTTATTTATTTGTTTTTTTTTTAAAGTTTTTTTTAGTTGAAATCAATATAAGTGTTTGGTGCCTCGCNTTTTTTTTAGTCTTTTTGTTTTGGAAATGATTAATTCCACTAAATTGGAAGATTCAGGCGTGAGTTTCAGTTGAAATCAACCTGCAGTGTTGTTAAGTTTTTTTTTCAGCAGCCTAATCGAAAAGTAATGCAATTTTACTGATAACCATGAGGATCAAAGCATTTCAGAATAATTTTTCTTTTCATGCAGAACGCAATAAATAGATTTTTCATACAGTGGTTATTGAGTCGCTCTCTTTAATGCTCCTGGCCGTGCAATAATGTTAGCAGATATAGAGTGTGTTATGTAAGGTGATAAAAGAATTGAAAACAAAACTAATCATTCACTCTCCAGAATTATTTCTTGCCCGCTGGGTTCAATCAAACTTCTTCATTTAATAATTTCTCATCTTAACTTTGAGGTAGACACTGAACAAGACAATTACCTCGCGCCTTTTATGGATCTGTAACTGATCAGACCGTGAAATTGAACTGGACTTGTCTGCCACAGGTGAGATTTGTTCTGTTTATAGCCAACGTTTGGTAACAAACTGTTATCTGTTGTTTGTTTCATGGAAAACGCAGACCTACAGAATATTTTTGGAGCAAGGTCTAACATGTCATCTTGCTTGGGATTTTCAAGTTCATAATACAAGTTCGGTTTACCTTTCACAATACTCTGTGATTCTGCTTTAGTTACAATGATATGAGGTGGCACATCCCATACAATACAAAATTACATTTACACAACACCTTTCACATCAGGAGGACGTCCCAAGGTGCTGGACAGTCAGGGATTTGGACCCAAGCAGAAGTTTGGTATCAGGAGGGTTGGAGGTCAGGGAATGTAGGGTTAGGAGGGTGGCTGAAGGCGTGGGCAAAGAGGATGTTCTTGAAAAATCCTGAACCTTACAATAAAAACAGAACCAGCTGTTGTCCAAAATAGTGTAGCGATTGAAAAGTCGCTTTAAGGTAACGAGCACAAAATTAAATGGTGATTTCAATCGATCCCATTGTTGCATCAAATAATTTTTTGTTTATTCCGTCCTGATAATGGCACGGTCAAGGAAAGCATCAGATTATTATAATAATAATAATCCTTACATTTGTCACAGCGCCTTTGATGTTGGGAGATTGTCTCAAAGCACTTCACAGGATTTTGCTGTAAAGTGTATTTTTGGGGCAAGTGTGGCAGCCAATTTGCACTCAACAATGTCCCAAACAGCAGTGAAGTGAAATGACTAATGTTATCTGTAGCCTGGACACCAGGAGAAACTCCCTGGTGTGGGAGATTTTAGTACAACAATTTATCCATACAAACATGGATCTTATAACAAAATATAAATGCGTACAAGATCTGCTTTCAGAAACTGAAAGATTTAGTTTCTGTACCATGTGTGGCAGGACATCATGTTGGAGTTCCCAACACATTGCACCCTATGGTGGCAGGACTTTGCTTCCTACTTGTGATTTCTGACACAGTGAAGAACTCACTCAAGACACAGTTTTAGCCAAGCGGTAGGTGCTAAAACTGAGCCAGGCAGTGCCTGTAGCAAACAAGAGAAATTTACTCCCAAGTTGCCCAATAGTCCTGATTGGCTTTGACAAAGTACATCTTTGGTAGAGGTCAAGAGAGACAGATCCTGTCATCGTGTGCAGGGTTAAGGTACATTATACTGGGGAATATAAAGAGGAGAAAGTGCAAAGTTAGGCAAGTTTCCTTTAAAAAAATAATAATTTGGTCACTCAATCCACTGAATGGATTGGAAGCTGCAATGAGTTTCCAAATGTGTTTGGCACTATTGTGGGACGGTGCTGTGCGCGTTTCGTCCACAAAATATGCAGTTAATTCACTTTACAGTCGATTCTGTGAAGCGCTTTAAGACTTCCTGAAGACATGATAAGGCGCTGAATCAAATGCAAGGATTATTATCATGAACACAATGTCCAAATCTGTAAGAATTCACCAAAGAGCTGTGAGTTACTTTTGCCTTCAACAATCTGGTGAAACTCCTTTCCAGATGTAATTTTGAATTCAGCTGTTAGTTGTGGTGGCAGATATAGAAAGCAATTTACTGAACTATTTCAGGGCTAAGTTTATTTTGGTTAAAGGCATTACATTATATTTAATCAGCATCAATTAAAACCAGTTGCACACTAAACGTTTCCCCTGGCTTAACCTCAGTTAGCATTGAACTGCAATAATTGAGATACTAGCAAAGGAGTCCCTTAGTTTCTGGATAAATTGCTAATTAACAGATTGCTGTCAACAATTAACTAATTTGTATATTAATAATCGGAGATAAAAGCAATAAACCCTTTCAATTTGGCTCGCTTTTGAATAATCCTGTTAAGTTCAATTTAAGACCGCAGTATTTTTTCGTGACTTGCCATTTACATTCTTTTACCCACTCGTTACTGGTAAAACTACTTGATATTGTCTTAAATTGTTCACCGAACACATCTCTTTGATAAAAGAAAAGTAAGAAAATTCCTTATCTGTATATCGTGCCCCACCAATGGGGATTCATGTGGAATCCTTTGAGGGATTACATGTCATTTTCAAAGTTCTTATGAAACAATTGAGTCTTCCAACGGTGCCAGCTGTATAAAAAGGCAACCACTTTGAGAGCCGTCAGTTTGCTTTCATCCTGGGTTGGAAGCTGCAATGAGCTTCCAAGTGCGTTTGGCACTGTTGATCTCATTAGCTCTCTCTGAACTGGAGGCAGTTGAGCTGACATGCAAACTACTGGAAAAGTCTGATCTGTATGGAATCCACAAGGATGGAGATGTTGTCATTGGTGGATTATTCATCATTAACTTCCGAGTGTCAGTACCTGATGTTTCGTTCAAGACCAAGCCAGAGAGCATACCGTGTGACAGGTGAGTTTGAATGTGAAGCGCTTTGAGCCGTCTCGAAGATGTGATAAGGCGCCACATCAAATGCAAGGATTATCATTATTATTTATTCAGAGGAACTGCGGTTTTTTTTCATTCGTGAATTTTTTAAATTGTTTTCGGATCTTCACGACACTGAGCTGCATCTTGTAAATGTATAACAAGAGCAAGCCAAAGTTGCCCAAACCTGATGAGGTTTAGCTCAAAGGAACAATGTCTCAACAGCTTGCATATGTTTTGAAATTTTGCTTTGAAGTGAGAAGTGACTCCAAAAAAATATACATTTAAAAATAAATAAATAATCTTAGTGCAAATAGTAAATAAGTCAATTTATTTCTGCTGGTTCCTACAGTTAAACTTTTTCATACATCCTTTCATCTGATTATATTCTCCTGTTTCTTCCTTCTTGCCTCCATCCCTGTTGCTGGAGGGAACAGTGGGAAATATGAATTTTTATACTATTTCAGTTCTGACCAATTTTCCCCAATTCCCCTTTCTCCTAAAGATGTTTGAGTTGGTTCTTTTCATTAAGGTAAAGTTACAGAGGTGCCACATGTTCACTTGGTGCTTCGGCTGTCCAGACTATACGGCTCAGTTTCTTACTGAACAATAATAATGAAATAATTCTTGCAATGTGTAGAATAAACTTACTCAGCCATTTGGAAAATGGGCACTGATCTCTCAGTTTGCTCTACATGATTGATGTGGTTCCTGCTATTCACCAGCCCTTTTCTTTTCACCTTTCAACCCTAGCAGATTGGCTTTAAGATGCTTGTCCTTGCCTTGAAATCCTCCAAAGGTTTGCCCACCCGACCTCTGCGATCTCCTGCCATTCCAACTCCCCTGCCTACCCCTCAACTCCACCAGCACTGGCTTCCACGTGCCCTGCCCACTCTGCTTTCAGTCGCTTTGCCCCTAATTCCATGGATAACACTCTTCCCAAATCCCTTTGGCTCAGCCCTCTCTATAATCTGCATTCAAATCCCATCACTTGTTGGTGGTTTGTTTCCAGAGCTAAGACCGTGTGAGAAGAATCTCTCAAGTTGTATTGAGTGTGTGGGACGAGTCTTATCTGTTTTTCCGTGAAAAAAGAGATGATTAAAATTGCACAATTGGTCAAGTTGTTTGGTCTCCTGCAGTTTCTATTTCAGATCATTCCGATGGTTGCAAACCATGATTTTCACAATTGAAGAAATAAATAAAGATCGAGAGCTCCTTCCCAATATAACCCTTGGATACAGTATCTATGACAACTGTGGTAAAGTCCCACAAGCTGTCAGGGCAGCAGTCAGTGTGCTCAACGGAGTGGACGACCATTTTGATGATCACGGTTGTACAGGATCACGTCCTATTTCTGCTATTGTTGGTGATCCAACATCAACGACATCCATTGTTGCCGCAAGACTGGCTGGAGTTTTCAACATTCCTATGGTAAGGCTTGCACGGATAAATTCTTCTGCAGCGTCTGACCATGATGGACGACGGACACCTGTAACAGTAACAACAAAATGCATTTATTTAAACCTTCACATGAGACAATGGGTTTGGACTCGAAGCAAGGGAAGAGGGCGTTACCTTAGGGTTGGTCAAAGAGGTAGGTTTTAAGGTGGGACTTTAAAGAGGTTTTGAGGCAGAGGTAGAACCAGAGATTTCCAGAGGGCAAGTATAAAGTCTATAAAATCTACTACATCCAATATACTGCTGTGAATATAAGATCCACATTGTTGAACAGAACCAGAAGGTAGAACTAGAACAGTAATAATTTACTGTTGAATGAATTTTCGAAAGTTCTTTACTTTTGTTTCCACAGGTCAGTTACTTTGCTACGTGCCCTTGTCTGAGCAACAAGTTGGAGTTCCCCACATTCTTCAGAACAATACCCAGTGATACCTTTCAAGCCAAAGCTATGGCCAAACTTGTCCAACACTTTGGATGGACTTGGGTTGGATCGATTGCCAGTGAAGATGACTATGGCCAATATGCAGTGCAAGCGTTCAATGATCAGATAGAGAGATCTGGGGCTTGCTTGGCCTTTTCCGAAGCCATTCCGAAAATCAATTCTGAACAGAAGGTCCTTCAGATTGTCGACACCATCAAAAAGTCATCGGCAAGAGTTATTGTGTTGTTCGCTGGCGAGGTGGACGCAATACCCTTGGCAAAGGAAGTGGTGCGTCAGAATTTGACTGATAGGCAGTGGTTAGCAAGCGAAGCCTGGAGTACAGGCACACTGCTGGCCACAAAAGAGAATCTTCCCTCTTTCGGTGGGACAATCGGCTTTGCCATTCATAAAGGAGAGATCCCAGGGTTGAAGGAATTTTTACTGAAGGTCCATCCATCCTCGGCCCCTGGTCATACGTTGATAAAAAGATTCTGGGAAGAATTGTTCGGATGCAGTTTTTATTCATTGGATAACACCACCTCAAGCACCATCTCTGAACCAGCGTGCACAGGACAGGAAGACTTAGAGGAAACAAACAATGTGTACAGTGATGTGTCAGAACTAAGAGCTTCATATAATGTCTACAAAGCTGTGGATGCAATCGCTCATGCACTTCATAATTTGCTTGCATGTGAAACTAGGCAAGGGCCATTTGTGGATAAGTCCTGTGCTAACATTTCAAGCTTTGAGCCATGGCAGGTAAGGGATTTTTGTCCAGTGGGGTAACTCTGACATTTACACTGAACTTGTAATGATTGAGTCTGCTGATTAACAATGAAAAAGTTCCATTATCTTGAATTTGTCACAATAACTGTTTCCTGGGCCAGGGCGAAAGTTTTGGCAAGTTTCCTTACTCCACGCACTTCTGTTCACCTAGCAGTAAGTAGGAACCCGGTTGTAAGTCGATTGGCGGATTGCTTTTCTGGGGGTAATAATCCCCTTAAAAAAAAACAATAATTTGGTCACTTAATCCACAACTGTTTGTGGAATCACTGCTGTGTGCGTTTTGCCCACAAAATACAGTCAATTCACTTTACAGTGTATTCTGTGAAGCGCTTTGAGACGTGATAAGGCGCTATATCAAATGCAAGGATTATTATTTATTAGTAGTAGTAGTAGTATAATTACCTTGATTTGTTTTCATTATCCAGCTTCTTCATTACCTGCGCAACGTGAAGTTTACGAACCGTTTTGGAGAGCAAGTATATTTCGATGAGAATGGAGATCCTGTACCATCGTACGATATCATGAATTGGCAAATGAATGCAGATGGTTCAGTTAAAATTGTTACCATTGGCATTTTTGATGGATCCTTGGCTCCAGGACAAGAACTTTCTATTAAAGAAGGAACTATTATCTGGAGCGGTGGCCAATTAGAGGTAATACAGCACTTTGTTAAGTTTCTTGTGTGATAAATCCTGTTGTATCTTTAATGAATTTTTGTGTTTAATCCATATTTTTATGAACTAATGCTGGGGTAATGTGGTTGCGAAACTACAGCAAAATTGTTAATAATATCTTTATGTTCACGTTATGGCAGGTCCCAGATTCTGTCTGTAGTGGAAGCTGTCAACCTGGTACAAGGAAAGCAACACAAAAAGGACAGCCTGTCTGCTGTTTTGACTGTTTACAATGTGCTGATGGAGAAGTAAGCAATCAAACAGGTACGTTTGAATCTAATCAAGTTCGGAATATTCTTTCTTTATTAAGTGTTTAAGATTCTTGGGACGATAGCTTTCTCTGCAGTTTGAAGTCTGATTTCTTTCCCATGCAAATAAAAATTCCGGATTTTGACTCAATTGTAACCGTATGACAAATGCTTCATGGTTCACGGACATGGTTTTGTACCTGATCACGATGTTCCTGTTCACACACAGCAATACATCCCACATGATTGATGCTGCAACAATGAGAGTAAAATAGATAAATATAGGGATGTATTCGTGGACTATTTCATGACTGATATGGTTGATGTTGGTTAATTTTAGAGAAACACAAAATGTTTTGTTCTGCATAATTACAAAGTTCCTGACTGTGACAACCTTTATTTTGTAGATTCTGTTCAATGCTTGAAATGCCCAATAGATTATTGGTCCAACCAGGGAAGAGACCAGTGTGTTTTGAAGGAAGTGGAATTTCTTTCATTTGAAGGCACTCTGGGCATCATATTAGCCTCTGTAGCACTGATTGGAGCCTGTATAACAATCTGTGTTTTTGCCATTTTTCTTCATTACCGAAACACCCCTATTGTCAGAGCTAATAACATGGAGCTGAGTTTCCTCCTGTTGGGGTCACTGGTTCTGTGTTTCCTGTGCTCACTGTTTTACATCGGCCGGCCATCGCTGTGGTCCTGTGTGTTGCGACACACTGTGTTTGGGGTTAGCTTTGCTCTGTGTATCTCCTGCATTCTCGGCAAAACTATTGTTGTGTTGATGGCCTTTAGTGCAACACTACCCAACAACAACATGATGAAGTACTTTGGTCCCCTCCAGCAAGCAGCCAGTGTTTTGGCGTGTACCATCCTTCAAGTCATAATCTGTGTTATATGGCTGATCACGTCACCTCCATTTCCCACAAAAAACACTGAGCACCAAAAGGCAAAGGTTATCCTGGAGTGTAATGTGGGGTCTGTGGCAGCGTTCTGTTGTGTGTTGGGTTACATCGGCTTGCTGGCCAGCGTAAGTTTTGTCTTAGCATTTCTAGCGCGAAAGCTACCGGACAATTTCAACGAAGCTAAGTTCATCACCTTCAGCATGCTGATCTTCTGTGCAGTTTGGATCACCTTCATTCCAGCTTACATTAGCTCACCTGGTAAATACACCGTCGCTGTTGAAGTCTTTGCAATCTTATCTTCAAGCTTTGGTTTGATCGCCTGCAACTTTGCTCCCAAATGTTACGTTATTTTGTTGAGACCCGAGGAGAACACAAAGAAGCATCTGATGGGGCGAGGGAGAAGCAAACAGTAATACATGAGTAATGCTTTCCTTTCAAGTGTAGAACGAGTATTGGTTAATTTTAGAGAAACACAAAGTATTTGAATGTGTTATTGGATCTATTTAGTCAATTCTGGATGTATCTTTAAAGTGGTATTTAGTTCGCTTACCTTAAATTTATGTTGAACATCTTTGTGATTTTTTTCATGGCTTCAACTCTTACAGATATAACAAGATACATGTTGAAGATTTAACAGCCATTTACTAGTTTAGTTTCCCATTTGTCGACCAGTGTATTTGGGAAAAGTGTGCTTTATCTTTTCCAATTTTGCTTTCACGTTGTTAACGAAATAAATCTAAAGATCAATTGTGTTTAGATTCATTGTATGGAGTAATGCATCGCAGTGGTAGTTAAATTCCAGTGGAGTCCTGTAGCTCAGTGGTTAGAGCATTCGCCTCGCAAGCGAGAGACCTGGGTTCAATTTCCAGCGGGGTGAAACCTTGAGCAAGTTTCCTTACTCCACAATAATCCTTCAAGAAAATAAATAAATAAAATAATAATTTGGTCACTCAATCCACGACTGTTTGTGGGACGTTGCTGTGTTTAATTGGCTGCTGCATTTTGCCCACAAATATAGTCAATTCACTTTACAGTATATTCTGTGAAGCGCTTTGAGATATCTAGAAAACCTGAAAAGCGCTATATCAAATGCAAGGGTTATTTTATAGGGTTATTTATTTAAATTCTGCTTGTGAAACGATGTAAAATAAATGCCTACCATGTTTTCTGACAATAACAGTCGCTACACTTGACATTAATTGCTGTAAGAATTTACTTTACAATGTGATCAGACCATAAAAGTGCAAGTTATGTGGGGCTTCCTAATGCAGGTGATTTTGTACCTTCAAATACTGAGATGCCGTCCGGCGTGGAGGGCGCTATATAAATCCAAGTTGTTGTTGTAATAACTTCAAGGTAACATATTGCAGATACTGGTGCAATTCACAGAAGCACCTGAGCTGGAGATGAACAGAATTACAACAACAACAAAATTACATTTATAGAGCGCCTTTCACATCGGGAGGACGTCCCAAGGCACTGGACTGGGTCCCATTAGTCTGAAGAAAGAGAGTCTGCAGTGTGTTACGCTGCCCATTTCAGCTGACCCTGAGGCTTGTGTTTTTCTCACGTTTGCCTGAAGTGAGTGCCATGTGTGCAGTGCTCTCTCTCCTCGGAGAGCAAAGTTTCCAGTTTCTGTTAGAACATCAAACTGGGACCGCAGGTGTCTGAATGCGAGATGATTGTTTTCAGACCGCATGGGAAAGCAAGGCAATCTGATTCATTTAAAATTAAATTTGCTCCACAATAACCTTGCTCATTGGAGCGAGCTGGATAGGGATACACAGTTAAGCCCTGTGCTGGGTTCTACTCTGCTCCTATGGAGTGTTAATACACCATAAAACAAGGTCATTCTACAAGGGGAACAATTATATCTGAGCAGTACAGAACCGACAGAAAATCATTTATTTAAAAATAAACTAAACATTTTGTTGCCCAAAACTATGCAACAAGGGTTCAGCTAACATTTCTTGGATTATTTTTTATTCAATATTTTTGAGCTAAGATTTAATACAACAACAACACAATTACATTTGTAAAGAGCCTTTCATGTTGGGAGGACGTCCCAAGGCGCTGAACAGTTGGGGATCAGGACCGGAATAATTCAATGTTTCAGACAAGACATGGACCGTTTTCCGCTGAACCCTGATATGCTTTGTGAACGCTCTGAAACACCGTCTGGTGTGGAGGGCACTATATAAATCCAAATTGTTATTGTTGTTGATACAAAGGCAATGGCCTGACTCAATAAGATAAAAATCTGCTCCTGTTCTACTTGCTACCAAGATTGGTGGTTCCATTTGAACATGGCTGTGCTACTTACACTGTATGCTCAGTTATCAATTTCAATGCTTTATGTCCATGACGGAGATGTGTCCAAACCAATAATTCATAGTTTATTTGGTGAAAAAAATATTTTTTCTTTCATATTTGCACACTTTTGTGTATTACAAAAATGGTGGATTATAAGTGAAAGCTCACAGCCAGTGAGACATTGATGGTTGGTTGGAATGAGCAGTTTGGCTGTCGTTTCCCCCCTGGGAACTCACTCCACTTAAGCACTTATCAACCATCTAAACCATAGCTTCAAAAGAATGTCACTTGAAATCCAAGATTAAACTTTGTACCAATGTAATCTTTTCTGCAAAGGAATACACTATACAGTTCACATTGTCTGGATAAATGAAAACAAGGTAGGGGCAGGCAATAGGTTGAAGCAAAATTGAAATGATATTGGTTGACGGTTGTGCGAAGTGTATGCCAGGACTGTAATAGGACTAAAATCTTGTTGCAATCAGACTTAAAGTATAGCACAGTCCTGAGACGCCTTGGGAAGTCCTCCCGATGCGAAAGGCACTGCACAAATTAAACTTGTTGTTGGTAGGGTGGCTGGGGCTAGAGGGGCTCAGTACTCCTCCCCCAAATCTATCGCCAGCTCATCTCTTTAAAGGGAAAATCCTGAGCTCTGAGGAACATAACCGGTCCTCCGAGCAGCCCCAATCCGTGACACCTGCAGGTTCTTCTTGCCCCCCTCCCAAATACATCTCCAAAAATAGAGCTTCTAAACACGAGCACTGACACTAAGGAGGTTGTGGGGACAACAGAATAGATTAGATACAGGTTACATATTGTACAAACACTGCACTTAGCTGGCAGACTTGGGCAGATAACCTCGAACTTGGAAAACAAAATGTTTTGATCAAACTAACCAAAGAATAGGGAGAACAAATCCATGCTTCCAGTCCTTCAGTTTCGAAAGGAGATGGGTAGTGGAGGTATAGGTGTGCAGTGTGAGTCGAATGATCCAGCGCAAGTTATAAGAATACACCTGAGCCAGGTATAGAACAGCAAATGTTTTGTTCTATTAGACAACATACATTGTCACGTTTGGGTTATTTGGCCATTACGGACACTGAATCCAATATGTGGCTGTTTGTAATATATAGGTTACAATGGCGATTCTCCCTGTTAATAAGTCATTATGTTGACCTGGAGGGAAACTCTGATAGTTTGACTTCCACACTCCAGCACAAGACGCTGTAATTCATTCTGTAACTTCAGCTAGTTATCCATGTAGGTCTTACTATCCACACTAGATGTCATTGACACGACATCTACACACAACATTATAAAAACAAAATAATAATTTGGTCACTCAAACCACGACTGTTTGTGGGACGCTGCTGTGTGCAATTGGCTGCTGGGAGTCACCGACAAACTACACAGTCGATTCACTTTACAGTATATCCTGTGAAGCGCTTTGAGACATCTCGAAGATGTGATAAGGCGCTGTATCAAATGCCCGGATTATCATTACATGTAAACCATCTCTTGTTTTTTTTTAAAAAAAAGTGCAAGGAGCGCCATGTGTTGCCTTCTCCCACTGTGGATTAAAGGAAACCATCAAATTCTTCAGGGAATGTTAGTTTTGAAGTTCGTGCAAAATAATGAGTTCTGCCAATTGTGTCAGCTGAATATAAAGGCCACTGTGTTCTCAATGCTCAGTCTGGCTTTACCCTGCGATGGGAAGAACAATGAATCTCAATGTGCATTTAGCACTTCTGTTTTCATTGCCTTTCCATGCATTTGGGGCCATTGAGCCAACGTGTAAACCTCTGGAAAAGTTCAATCTGTATGGGATTCACAAAGATGGAGATGTTATTATTGGTGGATTGTTTCCCATTCACTTCAGTGTAACTGCACCTCAACTGTCCTACAAAGCCAAACCCCAGGAGCTACAGTGTGAAGGGTGAGTTTTTGTGCTTTTTGCAAAAAAAGGTAAATGGCAATCTTTAGAGCATCTGAAAATCAATTTCAGATCACTGATTATATTTTGTTTACCAAAGAAAGAAAGACAGCAAAACAATATTTACAATGTTTCATCCTGTTCATTACCCTGTGTTTTTGTGGGCGAAACACAGCAGCCAATGTTCTTGTTGCTAAGTATCTTTACTATTGATATTTTGCTCCTGTTAGCACACAATGTCTATTTTGGTGTAAACTGTTCAACTATTATCTTGTGTTCCAGCTTGTGAAATAAGGATAATGAGAGCCAATGCTTTTTTAACCGACAGGTTCAATTTCCGAACCTTTCGGTGGTTACAGATGATGATTTTCACAATTGAAGAAATAAATAAAGATCAAGAACTACTCCCGAACATAACGTTGGGCTACAGCATCTACGATAACTGTCGTAAGGTCCCACAAGCTGTCCGAACGGCAGTCACGCTTCTCAATGGAGTGGATGACTTGTTTGACAATGACAAATGTACAGGATCACCTCCCATTTCTGCAATCATTGGTGCTGCCCGATCAACCCATTCTATGATCATTGGAAGAATTGCCGGACTGTTCAGTATCCCTGTGGTAAGGTATATCCTGTTCCCATTGTCAATAGATCTGTGAGTTTACAAAGGTGGACAATATTTCACTGGTAGCAACAATTTGACAATAGTAAAGCTTTTAGCGTTGCTTCATAAATCATGGCATTGCAACAAAGTCACACTGAGAAATAAGTTTAAAATGTTTAGAAATAGATTGTAAATCTCATTGTTAAACTTTAAGGGATAACATAAAAGGGGCAAAATATGTGGTGCAATGAACAAATGACAATTACATGAATGGGCAAAAGATTGGAGAACTAACTTTTGTTTCTATGTAATGATGATGCTGTAAATATTAATGCGTGTATAGAATGAGTGAATACAACTCAAGTTGCACCTGTTAACTTGATAAACTGAAACCGTTGTCTCCTTTGTGCTTTGTAGGTCAGTTACTCTTCATCATGTCCATGCCTTAGTGACAAAAGAGAGTTCCCCTCGTTTTTCAGGACAATACCCAGTGACAGCTTTCAAGCCAAAGCCATGGCCCAACTCGTCAAACATTTTGGTTGGACCTGGATTGGGTCCATTGCAACTCAAGACGATTACGGTCAATATTTAGTTCAGTCATTCAACAAACAAGTGCAGGAATACGGTGCCTGCCTCGCCTTTACAGAGGCGATTCCAAAGATAAATTCTCAACAAAAGATACTGAAGATTGTAGACACCATCAAAAAATCCACTGCAAAGGTTATTGTGCTGTTTGCCGGTGTAGGTGATATTATTGCTCTAGCTGACGAAATTGTGCGTCACAATATCACTGACAGACAGTGGATAGCGAGCGAGACCTGGAGTACAGCTGCCATGCTGGCTACTAAAGAGAACTTTGGATCATTTGGTGGAACAATAGGATTTGCCTTTCGTAAAGGTGAAATCCCAGGTTTCAGAGAATTTCTTCTTAAGGTCCGTCCATCCTCACCCCCTGGTAATGGGTTGATAAACAGATTCTGGGAAGAATTGTTCGGATGCGCTTTGAATGCACCGGATGTGACTTCTGGACATACTTCAACAAACACTCTTTCTAAACCCGTGTGCACAGGACAAGAGGATTTGGAGAAAATTAATACAATATATACTGATGTATCACAGCTAAGAGTGACATACAATGTTTACAAAGCAGTGTACGCTTTAGCTCATTCACTTCACAGTTTACTGCTATGTGAAAATGATAAAGGACCGTTTGCGGACAAAACTTGTGCAAACAATTTAAACTTTGAACCGTGGCAGGTAAGAGATTTTTTTTGTGTGACTTCTACAAGGCGGTGCCATATCTCGCAGGTTTTGTTCGTGTGACAGATCTGCCACGGGTCCTGTGAATAACGAAACATCTGCTCTTTATTGTTCCCCTCCCGAGGTTAAAAGCTCAAATTCAATTTCATTTTATCGACGTAATTTGGTGTGTCCTCAGCTTCTGCACTACCTGAAAGAAGTTAAATTTACAAATCGTTTGGGAGAGAAGGTGTATTTTGATGAAAATGGGGATCCTATTGCATCGTACGACATCATGAACTGGCAAATGGATGCAAATGGCTCTGTGAACATTCTAAATGTCGGACTTTTTGATGCTTCAGCAGCACTTGGGCAGGAACTTCTAATCAATGAAAAGACCATTAGTTGGATTGGTCAACAAAAACAGGTAAATATTGGGCTGCACAGCCACTTCATCTTGTGAGGTTCACATCGGGATACCAACAGTTCCTCTGTACTGTTGTTGATATCAAATTTTTCCAACTGGAATCGGTTATTCATTTCTGAGGATAGTTACGACTGTTTGTGAGACGCTGCTGTGCGCAATTGGCTGCCGCGTTTCACCCACAAAATATACAGTCAATTCACTTTACAGTATATTCTGTGAAGCACTTGGAGACGTCTCGAAGACGTGATAAGGGGCTGATTCAATTGCAAGGATTATTATTATATTGAAGTCCTCTCTCTTACCAGATTCTACAATAATAATGGCTCAGGTTAGAATTGAATTCTCTCTCGTGTCTTTATCACTAGGTTCCGCACTCAGTCTGCAGTGAAAGCTGTCTGCCTGGTACAAGGAAAGCAGCAAAGAAAGAGCAGCCTATATGTTGCTTTGACTGTTTACAATGTGCTGACGGAGAAATTAGTAATCAAACAGGTACGTTCAAATGGAATATGGTCTTTTACTGAGATTAAACAGTTATCTTGCCTGAGATATTTTAGCAAAATGGGTTAAATTCTTGCCCTTTCTTCTTATCTGTTTCTATATTACTTTGCAATAATAAACCTTGCATTTGATATAGAGCCTTGCCTCCTCCCTATTGCTCTTAATTTTATCTGTGATTCAATGATATGCCACGTTTGACGAGCAAAACATCACAAGAAAAAAAGAGTGGAATTAATTTGAAAAAGAGATTTGATCGAAGAATAAATATGAACTGAATTGAACAGATTTCTGTAAAGAGAGCCACAATGAGGTTACGTTTGAATTGGGTTTAATGTGGCTAAACATCTAATGCAAACATTACAGCATGAAAAACATGACCACACTAACCTAATGTGAATAAAGTGCACATGAGATTTGGGGTCATGTCCAGAGCCTTTGTTTCATGGATGTTTCACTAATATTGGACAAATGTATGGTATGTTTTGCAGAATCAAGTTCCTGACTGTGACAACCTTTATTCTGTAGATTCTGTTCAATGCTTGAAATGCCCAATAGATTATTGGTCCAACCAGGGAAGAGACCAGTGTGTTTTGAAGGAAGTGGAATTTCTTTCATTTGAAGGTACTCTGGGCATCATATTAGCCTCTGTAGCACTGATTGGAGCCTGTATAACAATCTGTGTTTTTGCCATTTTTCTTCATTACCGAAACACCCCTATTGTCAGAGCTAATAACATGGAGCTGAGTTTCCTCCTGTTGGGGTCACTGGTTCTGTGTTTCCTGTGCTCACTGTTTTACATCGGCCGACCATCGCTGTGGTCCTGTGTGTTGCGACACACTGTGTTTGGGGTTAGCTTTGCTCTGTGTATCTCCTGCATTCTCGGCAAAACTATTGTTGTGTTGATGGCCTTTAGTGCAACACTACCCAACAACAACATGATGAAGTACTTTGGTCCCCTCCAGCAAACAGCCAGTGTTTTGGCGTGTACCATCCTTCAAGTCATAATCTGTGTTATATGGCTGATCACGTCACCTCCATTTCCCACAAAAAACACTGAGCACCAAAAGGCAAAGGTTATCCTGGAGTGTAATGTGGGGTCTGTGGCAGCGTTCTGTTGTGTGTTGGGTTACATCGGCTTGCTGGCCAGCGTAAGTTTTGTCTTAGCATTTCTAGCGCGAAAGCTACCGGACAATTTCAACGAAGCTAAGTTCATCACCTTCAGCATGCTGATCTTCTGTGCAGTTTGGATCACCTTCATTCCAGCTTACATTAGCTCACCTGGTAAATACACCGTCGCTGTTGAAGTCTTTGCAATCTTATCTTCAAGCTTTGGTTTGATCGCCTGCAACTTTGCTCCCAAATGTTACGTTATTTTGTTGAGGCCCGAGGAGAACACAAAGAAGCATCTGATGGGGCGAGCAGGTCCAGGGAAGACATGAACAACATGATTCTCTTTGTAAATGTCAATCATTTCATGCATCAGTTTACTCAGCTCAAATTGACTGGGAATTTCTATTAGAGTTTTATGTAGGTTGATTGGTTGAAAAAAACAGTGTAACAAGATAAGTGTAATAGTTCCATCAATAAAAGTAATTTCCGGCTACACTCTGTGGATTTCAATATGTGTAACTGACAGGCGTTCTGACTGCAATTGCAATTCTGCAATGATTTATTTTGGTCTCGGCTTGTATAGCGCCCTTCATGTTGGGAAGACATCCCAGGGTGCTGGAAATCAAGTGATATGTCGCACAATTTGAAGAAGCATAATACCCAAAGTTGTTGTTTTATACTTTTTCTGTTTGAAATCAGTTTCCGCTTCTGAGCAGGAGAATGACATCTCCTTCTACATCTTTCATTATTAGAGATTTAATTACATTTACTGAGTGGCCAGAAGCTTCAGTGCAGTTTGATGATGCCAGTTCTACTGCTTTTCAGTGGCTCTACTTCACACCACCACAACAACAACTTGCATTTATTTAGCATCCCGCAGCTCTCTATCAAAGGAATAGTCAGATCTAGTTTCATTGCTACCACTTACACTGGCCAATATTACATATTATCATTACAAATTACAAACTAATTCCAAATACTGACCATTGCATCCTTGAGTACAGAATATTGTAACATACACCCAGCAACAGCACAACTAAATGAGCCAGACTATAACCATTGATGACAATCCTACCCAACTGCTGTGTTACAGACCATGTACAATTCCACAGACTCATTTACATCATCAATAGAATTAATTAAAGGGACAATTAAGAAACAAAGTATTGAAAATACTCTTGAGACAACTGTCATTGATACGTCTATCAATAAACTAAATCACTAGATAATAATAATAATAATCCTTGCATTTGATGTAGTGCCTTAACACGTCTTCAAGATGTCTCAAAGCGCTTCACAGGATATACTGTACAGTGAATTGACTGAACGTTGACTGTACAATGTATACTATCAAGGGAGTCTTGCATTGACTTCCATATTCTGATATGCCATTTATATTGCACATTGAGACAAAAATTACATCCAATCTATATTAAAGCCAAATTTCACATTTTCTAGCAGTATAAACCAATAACGGGATATTTCAATTTGTGTTAGCTGCATGAATGAACACAATTAAGGTGAATTTCTGAGATCAGTGTTCAAAAGGCAACAGTTGGAATCTTTGCCTCACAAGGATTATTATTATTATTATCCTGCTGCTCTGTTTGAGGACCGTGTAGCTTCCAGAGACTTGTGCCATTAGTACTAATTATAAGTTGATTAAGACCTTGTTGTCTTGATTGAGGTGTGAGTTTCACAACACCTGAGGATCACCTGCAATCCCATGAGCTGTCACCTCTGTAGTCTTCAATCTGCCAACGTGCTCACTGAAGAAGAAGCAACACTGCCAATGAGGACTTGTGGGAGGATTATTGATGATCGGGGACATTGGCCTTTCATATGTGTTTTTAATTGAAGTATGTTTCATTACCTGTGTGTCATAATCTGTCGGCCCATTTCCTTTCTTGGCCCTGAAATGTTACACAAGTGTACTAGGGAGGAACACTGGGGGTGTTCGTCAACAGCAAAGTTATTACCTGGCTCAGTCAGTAGTGCTCTCTCCTCGAGGTAAGAGGTTGTGGGTTCAAACCCCATGTTGGGACTTGAGTTCACAATCCAGGGTGATACTCCTGTGCTGTGCTACAGCAATGCTATGTTGCTGGAGATGCTGTCTTTGAAGTGCAACATTACAACAACAACATTACAGCGCCTTTCACGTCAGGAGGACGTCCCAAGGCGCTGGACAGTCAGGGTTTCGGACACATTAAACCAAGATCAATGTCTGCCTCTTCACAAAGGAATGAAAGATTATATATTACTCAAAAACGACAACAAAATTATATTTGTATAGTGCCTTTCACGTCGGGAGGACGTCCCAAGGAGCTGGACAGACAGAGTAACCCTCGGTGTCCTGACTAATGAAGCTGACTGTCCATTCACCTCATGGCTCTTTGTATTACCCTAATAAGCACAAAATCACAAATAATTACTGTCGAGCGTTTTGAGATGTATAGTATGAAGTGCTATAAAATGCAACTTATTTTATTCTCGCCTGAAGATATTTATCTGACTGTCGCTTTGATTTTGGTTCAAACATCAATCTGTTTCTTTGCAGATTAATATTTTTTAAATAAGGTCATGTTTTCAATCTTTTATGGAATCCATAATGCATTCGACGGAGGGAAGGAAGGGTATAACGGATGTTTTTGTAGCTGTTTTAATTTGGTGCGTTTACTGCATTAAGGCCACAGGAGGGCAGAAGTGGAACAGCAAACAGCTTGGCTGGTTCTAATCTACAAAATAACCCTTTCATTCTTATCTGAGCAAAACTATTTCTATTTGTGTGGTAAGTGAGCGCTATGTGGAAAATGAAAATGTGAACTCTAATTTCACTCTTATTATTATGATTATTATCTACATGAGGCAGCCCCTCCTGGCTGAATGGAGGTGCCGGACACATGGAAGCTCGAGTGAGTACATCCAACGTGGCATTTTACCTGGAGTAACTATATTTTTATCCGAATCAACCGGGGTATTTCAAACAGGTAGGAATACAAATGAATCGGGGTCGGGGGGTTTTGTTCCATTTACCCGACATCACTATTGAAATAAAAAGTCCAATAATCAGCCTGTTTAAACAACAACAACAAAATTACATTTGTAAAGCTCCTTTCACGTCGGGAGGATGTCCCAAAGCGCTGAAATAAAGAGTGAATTACACTTGGACACATCAAGCACATAATTATTAATTGTTCTATAACTAATAATTAATTGTGTTCATTGTCTGTGGTTCTAGTTTGATGCATTGCTGATGCCTTATTTGGGCAGTGCTCTTGCGGTGCGAATTTAGTTCTAAGATCACAAATAAAATCATTTTAGAATAGCCAACCTGCACACTACAATCAGAGAAAACTGAAAAGAGAGATTTAAACTAAATTCACATAAATTAATTACCTAATCTTTATCCAGGCAATTCCTGCTATGTATTTATATGCATTCTGAGATTTTCAGAGAGCAAAGGATTTGTACGTACTGATGTGAAAATCGTCTCAAATCGTCTTCACTCCTTCAAATGCATTTCTTTATTAGCATTGAAAATATTAAATTATAAAATATTTAAAAATGAATTAGAAAATCCATTTCTATGCTTAAATATCTGCCTCAAGCGTTACAGAAATGGCTCAAATCCAAAAGGCGATCAGTGCAACTGAAATGTTAATGAAAATGATTATTACTGTATGTTAACTTCGAGAACATTAGGAAAATTGAAGTTCATTATTGTAGAATATTGGAAATCATTGTTCAAATAGTTATTTAATGACTGTAACCAGGTGTTTGAACCAGCTGGATATTGCTTTGTGATTAGTATGCAGCTGCTGATTATTGTCAAGACATTTCCTCAATGAAGGGACTGTGAACAAATTAGCCAAATTTGAGGCTTCCACCCAGCATCATGATTCATCCAGTGAGTGAAGACTTTATAATTCATAGAATTCATAGAAAGCTACTTGCTGCCTTCGCCATGCCTTTCTCTAGTTTCCAAATTGGACAAAATATTTTCATTAATGTTTGTAAATTTAAAAAAAATCATATATTCAATATGTCGATTTGGCTGATACAATCCCAGACTGAAGAAAATAGCCGCCCTGTTTGTTATATATGCTAACTGCATAAGTATGGTGTGACCCCCCCTTAAGCCTCCAAAAGGGATTGGATGCTGTTAGGAATTGTTCTATGACAGAAGGTGTAGCAACAGAGAAAACCTATAAGTATGCGATGGATACTGAATTGTACAGTGCTTTGTGATGTGGATTCCCGTGCTTTGCAATTGTGTTCAACCCTAACCCTTATCATGGCAGCTTTCGACGTTTCAATAATATTAAAATATTTCCAGAAATGCTTGCAAACAACTGAGTAAAAAATTGTGCAATAATATAAATGACCATCATGTTGAATTTTGAAATAACTAGTGCACACCCCAGTGGACACAAGATTCAGTCGTGTATTTCCAGTGTCTAGTTTTTTGATTCCCAGTTTGAATGAAGCAGGTCCCCCCCACTCCCCCACCAAAAAAAATTGGTTGAAATCTACAAGAAAATTGCCTCATTATTGGTTGCATCAATATTGCTAAAATTGATCAGTGAACTGTCTGGTTGTTGTTACTTTAGAGGGTATTTGTAAGCGAGAATACTCTTAGCTTGAGGAGGAATGTGAAGAGTGGGAGCAGTCCCACAGAAGGAAGATCAGCTATGAGTTCAGGGCAGAATGTTGACAGGAACTCAGTGAATGACGCTACCAGCTGGTCTGTGTTTAATAATTATAGGTTGCACTACATGATTTGGGTCCTAACAATGAAATATAATCAGTACATTTTTCTCCAGGTCTTACTGGGCCTTGAGCTAACATCAGTGTCAAATTTATAATAATAATAATAATCCCTGCATTTGATATAGTGCCTTATCACGTCTTCTAGACGTCTCAAAGCGCTTCACAGAATGTACTGTAAAGTGAATTGACTGCATGTCTTTGTGGGTGAAACGTAGCAGCCAACTGCACACAGCAGCATCTCACAAACAGCCGTGGATTGAGTGACCAAGTTATTATTATGTTCCGTTTTAGCTGACTTTATATCAGGTGGCTATCCTTAATGAGTAATTAACATACAAGTTCACCACTTAATAGTTTTACCGTAACCAGCTTGTGGTCTCCAACCAGAAAAAAATGAAAAAGTGATCCTACCGCAATTAGACAAATCGCAAACAAGACTGTTTGTCAGGCTGCTCTCTTGGGAGTTTCTTTCATGTCATGCTTCACTTACTCATCGAGAATGCCTAGAGTAGCGAGGTGAAAAAAAGTTGGATGAATTCTTTGTTCACAGAGGGATAAATGATTAACTTTGTGCACTCCTAATGTGAAGGATGCTTTTGGGACTGTATATTTTTTTATAGAATTTAATTTCCTGTAAACATTTGACTTTTGGGGATCGAGTTGCTTATATAAATAAGAAATCTGGACTGTTAATGCATTTTTTTTTCCTCGCAGGCTACTGAAATGTATTCCTGTTGCATTTTGTTCCTGTTGGTCTTAGGTACTGGCGTGTTAGGGGCAAATCAATCTCTATGTAAACTACGTGGAAAATTTGATTTACCTGAGTTGTCTATGGGTGGCGACATTCTTTTAGGTGGCTTGTTCCAGATTCATACAAAAATAATCACGCAAGACTTGCACTTCAAATCTCAACCCAAAACATTAGGATGTGAGGGGTAAGTGACAACATGGATATTAGTGTGTTAAACATTGTTCAACTATGTTTATGAATTTTTTGGAGGTATTTTAATAATAATCCTTGCATTTGATATAGCAATTTATCACATCTTGGAGACCATCTCTGTAAAGAATACACTGTAAAGTGAATTGACTGTGTGTTTTGTGGGCGAAACAAGAATACTTTAAATTAATGGAACAGCCACAGTGTTCATTTTATAACAGTAATATCAATTCTTTCCATAGTTCATTTGTTCAGTTTAAAGTTTGTGAAGAACTAGAGTGTTGCTGTTCCATACAGTGAGAATTGGAATGACTACAGACTGAATCAACAATCAGCTGTGAGACTGAATCATTTTCTATTATTTGAATAAAATGCTGTTTAGACCCAACATGTTGATCAGCACCTGAATGATCAGAAAGGCAAACATCACAACAACAGATTATTTTCTAACTCAATGGGTCAATAGGATTAAAAGTGATGATGGTTGTTGTTTGCAATGCATTGAATAATGAAGGTTTGGACTGACTGCTTACCACATTTTTAAAATGTTAACCTCTGAAACAAACAACTCGATGAAGGGTCAGATATGGGTAGAAATAATGCTACATATATGGAAGTTCTTTCTGGATTATCTACTGCAAACTGTTTTAACTCTTAACTTGTTCACTGTGTTCACAGTATCGTGAGATTTCTCCTCCGTGAACCAAAATAAGTTGCAGCAATATTAAGTCTCCGTGATGTGAAAAATCCTCCGTTTTACAGTTTCAATTTCAGAGCTTTTCGTTGGGCGCAGACAATGATCTTTGCGATCGAAGAAGTCAACAAAGATCCAACACTGCTACCGAATATCACACTAGGCTACAGGATTTATGATTCCTGTGGTAAACATCCCATGTCTCTGAGAGCAGCTATCACCCTTGTCAATGGTCAGGAGGAAACGGTGTCTAGTTCCAGATGCACTGCCAGTAATGTGACTGTGATCATCGGAGATCCTTCCTCAACACAATCCATGATATTATCTCAAACATTAGCACCATTCCAAATACCAGTGGTAAGAGTTAACAGCAATAAACTTAAAATAATAATAACAATCCTTGCTTTTGATATAGGTCCTTTCATGTCGTCGAGATATCTCGAAGCACTTCACAGAATGTACTGGAAAACGGTTTGGCTTGTATGTTGTGAGTGAATCGCGGCTGCCAGTTGTGCACAGCAATGTTCCACAAACAGTCTTGGAGTGAGTGACTGATTTCATTTGGGGGATTTGTTGGCCACGACACCGGGAGAAAACTTCCTCCTCTTTTCGAATAGTGCCACGGCATCTTTAACGTCCACCTGAAAAGGCAGGCGGGACCTTGGTTTAACGTTGCATCTGACTGTTCTTGGTTAATGAAAGATTGAAAACTACAGGGCATTCCCATTGCTCTGTGTGTCTGACAACAACCTTTCTATTCATAAATAATTCCTTGCTGTATTTGTAGAAATAGTCAAATATCAGTCTTAGGATCACAGCCAAGACAGTTTCTCTTTTAATGAGAAAATACAATTCTTCTCTCTTACAAGCCCTTACAGCTTCAGCGTTTTCATTTTGATTAATTTGTATAGCCTCAAAATTATTTACAGTACTTATCCCACCTGGTGTTACTTGATGCAATTGGTCACTCGTTCATCTCCGGGTCAGCAGGTTGGGACTGTCAGCTCACAGCGTAGATTGACTCCCCCAATGCAGCACTGGAGGAAAACTGCATTGTTGGAGTTGCTGACAAACCAAGCCAATGTGAGCTGGAAGCTAAATATCCAATGACAGAATTTGAAGAGCAAAAGGAGTTTCTCTTACTGTCTTAGCCAACGTACCTCCTGATAAATTTGGTGATTGGCTTCTTGGCTGTTTGCACCTTACTGTGCACAAACTGACTGTTGCATTTGCACCAATATAGAGTCACTTAACTTGGCAGGAATTAAGTGCGAAATACTTTGAGCCATTTTGACTTTATAGGTATTAAATAAAATGCCAGAATTATTGAACTGTATTTCATTTTTGTACACTCATTCAGTGATAGAAATTTGTAACTTCAGTGATACTTTTGTTTTTCCGGAACTGATCTGAAACCAATAAATCAGCATGAAATATGTGTTTATGTAGAAGTTAATCAACTGCAAAAATTGGTAATTCATACCAATGGTGGAAATGCGCCCCTGCTGTCTCACAGCTTGAAAACAAATGTTTATTTATAAACTATGTAGGGATTAGGTCTAAAAGGACTTTGATTATTCAGCAATAGCCAACCGAATCCATTGGGAACAAAATAACAAACCACGTAAAGCATTTAACCATTGTCTTGTTTTCTTTATAATATTTGCTTTCTTTTTTAGCTCAGTTACTATTCTACTTGTTCATGTCTTAGCAATAAATTTGAATTCCCGACATTCTTGCGGACAATCCCCAGTGATAACTACCAGGTCAAAGCTATGGCTCAACTTGTGAAAAGGTTTGGATGGACTTGGATTGGATTTGTTGCAAATGATGATGATTACGGTCAATATGGACTGCAGATATTCAAGGATGAAATCCAACACTCTGGGGTGTGTATTGCATTTATTGAATTTGTTCCCAAAATCTATTCGAAAGCAAAGGTCCTCAATATCGTTGACACGATCAAAATATCTTCAGCAAGAGTTGTTATACTATTTGCTGGTGATGTGGTTTTGCTCCCTGTGATGAAGGAGCTTCTGAAACAAAACGTCACTGGTAGACAATGGATAGCAAGTGAATCCGCTATTGTATCGGGATTGCTGTCGGTAAAGGAACTATATCCAGTCATGGGTGGAACAATAGGAACCACTATTCTTGGAGCGAGAATTCCTGGACTCAGAGATTTTCTCCTCGGGCTCCAGCCTCTTAAGTTCCCTGGTGATAATTTTGTTCACGAATTTTGGGGAACGATGTTCAATTGTACCTTCAAAAAGGTGGAAAATGTCCATGAAGGAACATACCTTCAACAGCCCTGCACTGGATTTGAAGATCTAACAGAACAGGAAAACACGTATTCTGATGTATCTCAGTTGAGAATTTCATACAACGTATACAAAGCAGTGTATTCGGTAGCACATGCTCTGCAAAATTTGCTTTTGTGTGTAAATGATGAAGGACCATTTGAAAACAGGAAATGTGCAGACATTTTAAATCTGCAACCAGGGCAGGTGAGGAAATGTAACCGTTATTTAACGCCCCTGTCCTGTTCTTTATTTTTCAGAACTTATATTGTCTTGAGTAAATATTGTTCGTCCTTCTTCAAAATCGATTGTGTTAACGTATTCGGTGATTTAACTATACAATTCAGCGCCGAGCAATTCTATATTGGCAATTTTATAAAATGAATGTTAATGACCCTGTGTTCCTACACAACCGTATTTTATATCTGCCCTTAACAGTAAATATGAGAGTCTTATCAATAAAAAAACAATTAAATACATATAAAGTATTAAACATTGTTTCAAATGTGACTCAGAGTTCATTTCAATATAACAATCAATGCATGATTTTACTCTGTTCAGGTGAACCTGTTTCTTGATAACTGGCTCAATTGTTATACTGAATTATGTTTGGATATAATTTGATGCAAAATCTGAAGGCTTATGGTAATTTATACTACTGTGCATGATTTATAACATTACCACATTCTAGCACATCCTTTTTTGAAGTATTTATTTTAAACAATTGATCGATGATTAAGTAGTTAGTAATACTTCTCCCTCATATGCTTCTACATTAATAACACCGTCACAAATTGAAAAAACTATACAGACATTTCAGTATGAGCTATTTCACCCATTATCTATCTATCTATACAGTTTCTTCATTACCTGAGAGAAGTCAAATTTAGAAGCAAACTGGGAGAAGACATTTACTTTGATGAAAATGGGGATGTTGTTGCATTTTACGATATCCTGAACTGGCAGCTGGATACAGAGGGCAATGTTCAGTATGTAAAAGTTGGGAGATTTGATGCATCTTTAGGACGAGGACAGGAACTTGATATTAACGAAGAGTTGATTTTTTGGAGGGAAGGACAGACGACAGTAAGTCGAACACTTTTAACTCTTAAAACTCTATTCAGCGGTTACTGTCTTACTGCATGTACAAATAACATCCTATATAACAAACCCTATCTCAATGGATTTTGTATGTAATCTAAAAATTCAAGAGCACGATTGCAACAACACCTCATCAGTAGGGTAAAACCGACTTTATAACTGTCTTATCCCAGCTCACATTCCCTCTTAGCGGGTCAACAATCCAATGCTGGTGAAATTCTGTTTTCTCAATTTTGTGTACAGGTTGTGAAGTCAAAGTGCAGTGAGAGCTGTCCCCCAGGAACCAGAAAGGGAGTTAGAAAAGGCCAACCGCTGTGCTGCTTTGACTGTATTCCATGTGCTGATGCTGAAATAAGCAACCAGACAAGTGAGTGATTTTAACTTAAAAAACTTACAGCTAAGCGCAATTGGCTGCCGCATTTCGCCCACAAAATATACAGTCAATTCACTTTACAGTATATTCTGTGAAGCGTTTTGAGACTCTCGAAGACGTGATAAGGTGCTATAAGGCGCAAGGATTATTATTGTTATAAATAGGAGAACGGATATTTAGCAATAGGAGAAAGCCATTCACCTATTGCGCCCCCAAAGCATGACATTACTCTATGTACTTTCCATTTGTTCAATTCCAAACATACCCTGCCACTTCACTATGTCGCTTGTGATTAATGTGGGAAAATGTTGCTATTCTCCTTCCCCAAACAAACACAAATTCGAGATTTTGTTTTCAAAAACAAGCGTTTTTAATATCATTAGGAAGGAATTGCGACACGTGAAGTTTCCTGCATAAGCTCATGATGAAATTGACAACACTTCCATGCTCTTATATGACGAGAACCAAATATAACTCGGGTCATTCCATTTGCTAATTTTGTACCCTTCAGATTCAATTGAATGTACAAAATGTCCGCTGGATTACTGGTCCAATGAACAAAGGGACAGCTGTATTCCGAAGGAAATAGAGTTTTTGTCTTTTGAAGACGATTTGGGAATTGTACTTTCAGTGGTCGCACTGTCGGGCACTTTTACTACAATAGCTGTGGGAGCAGTGTTTTTCTATCATAGAAACACTCCCATTGTAAGGGCTAATAATTCTGAACTGAGTTTTCTTCTACTTCTCTCTTTATGCTTTTGCTTCCTGTGTTCACTAACTTTCATTGGAGAGCCCTTGGTCTGGTCTTGTATGTTACGGCACACAGCCTTTGGAATTAGCTTTGCACTTTGCATCTCTTGCATTCTTGGTAAAACCATTGTCGTACTCATGGCATTTAAGGCAACTCTTCCCAATAACAACCGTATGAAATGGTTGGGACCAACACAGCAGCGAAGTATTGTTTTTGTCAGCACGGGCATTCAGGTTATCATCTGTACTTTGTGGTTGGCTACCTCTCCACCATTTCCAACCCAAAGCAAATTTCGAAGTGCAAAGCTGCTATTGGAATGCGACGTTGGGTCTGTAACAGCCTTCAGCTGCATGTTAGGATACATCGGATTATTAGCATGCTTGTGCTTTGTCCTGGCATTTTTTGCCAGAAAGCTACCGGATAATTTTAACGAAGCTAAATTCATCACCTTTAGTATGATTATCTTTTGCGCAGTTTGGCTCACGTTCATACCTGCCTATGTAAGTACGCCTGGAAAGTACACGGTGGCTGTGGAGATATTTGCAATTTTATCCTCAAGCACTGGTCTTCTTGGGTGTATATTTGTACCTAAATGTTACATTATTATGTTGAAGCCAGAACAGAATACTAAGAAACATCTTATGGGGAAATAAATCTGGGGATTATGTGGAAATACAGGTCGATATTTCTTTGGAAAATTAGGTGAATATTAATATCTTAATAAACTATTGATAGTATAAATAGAAATGTATCAAGTGAGAAAGATATCTCAAGAGAGTTTTGTTAATTCTGTATTGTTGTAACAAAAACTCATTATGTTAAATGATGAATAAATTGGTTTTGCTGTTGTAAAACATCGATTGGAAGCAATGGGTTGAATTACAAGAAATAAGAAATCTGTTTACACACCGCAACATACTGCGAAAAATATGCAGATAGATCGTCAAACGCTTGCAACAATAAATTAGTTTTTTTCTGGATGTCAAGCACTTACAGAGGTAATCTCTCATGCGAAAGGCGTTGCGATGTGTCCTGAGGAAACATAGAATTTTGCAGCGTTTTTGCAGAGTGGTGGCGGGGGGGGGGGCGGAGAAAAAAAAAAGGATATTCCACCCACTTTTTGGGGGGCCAACTGGGACACACGCCGAAACCCATCACCGTTGCTTAAGAGTCTCCAAACCCAACTGAGAATTCCACGCCTCCCACCCACACACGGAAATCCCAGAGAGAGGGATTGTTGGAATGGAATGCGCCCTCTCTCTCTCTCTCTCTCTCCCCCTGGAGGGACGCCTCCTGCTCACCTAGTTCCGGAAACTATGAGGCGCAGGTTGGCAAGAGCCAAGGCTTGGGACGGGGGGGAGGCCAGAGTGTGCGCTGGAGGTAACTGCTGGGCCATTGATGTTGCTGCCCGGCAAGATTTCCCGCTGTGTGTCCAGCTAGGACCATCCACCCACCCTAGGACCACCCACCCTGGATCCCCACCCACCCTAGGACCACCCACCCTAGGACCACCCACCCTGGATCACCACCCACCCTAGGACCACCCACCCTAGGACCACCCACCCACCCTGGATCACCACCCACCCTAGGACCACCCACCCTGGATCACCACCCACCCTGGACCCACCCTAGGACCACCCACCCTAGATCACCACCCACCCTACCATGTCCGGTTGGGACCATATTCCACCCATCTTGTGTGCGCTGTCTCTTTAAGAGACGGGCGTTGTCAGGGCAACGGACCAACAACTGACGTGTGTGGGGGCGGGACCCAGGCCGCGCAGGCGCAGTCACCGCTGTGTGTGTGGGGGGACCGAGGCCGCGCAGGCGCAGTCACCGCTCTGTGTGGGGGCGGGACCCAGGCCGCGCAGGCGCAGTCACCGCCTTTGCGGAGCGCTTGGATCGCTGAGGCGGGCGGGAGTCGGTCTCCATGGAAACCGGCGGCTGAGGCCTGAGGCCTGGAGCCCGTTGAGAGGCGGAGGAGAGTGAGTGCTTACTGTGCGGGGACACACCGGGGCCTCATCGCCATCATCATCATAATAATAATCCTCGCATTTGTTATAGCGCTTTTCACGTCGGGAGGACGTCCCAAAGCGCTTCACAGAACACACTGTAAAGTGAATTGACTGTATATTTGTGGGCGAACGCGGCAGCCAATTGCGCACAGCAATGTCCCACAAACAGTCGTAGATTGAAAATGACCAATTTATTATTGTTTTGTTTTGGAGGGATTATTATTAGGCTCTGTGTGGAGTAAGGAAACTTGCCCAAGGTTTGGCCCTCTGCCTGGAATTGAACTCAGGTCTCTCACTTGCAAAGCGAGTGCTCTAACCACTGAGCTACAGGACTCCACGACTGAGCTACAGGACTCCACAAATCCTCATCATGTGAGGATGAGGATGATGTGATGATGAGGATGATGTGATGATGAGGATGATGTGAGGATGATGTGATGAGGATGTGAGGATGATGATGATATATGATGATGATGGCTGGCGGTTACTTTGGGCCCAAATGGGGGAGTGTTTTTTACTCCTGGAGTGTTCAGTAAGGCTGCCCGGCCCCGGTCACATAGTCCTCTGTAACAGTATTAATGATAATAATTAATAATAATCCTCGCATTTGACACAGCGCCTCATCACGTCTCCGAGACGTCTCAAAGCGCTTCACAGAATATACTGTAAAGGGAATTGACCGTGTATTTTGTGGGCGAAACGCGGCAGCCAATTGCGCACAGCGGCGTCCCCACAAACAGCCGTGGGTTGAAGTGATAATTATCGCTTTTTTTTTAAGTGATTATCACCTTTGGAAAGCGATCCGGCAATCAACTAACAACTGGGTTCCTCCTGACTGCCGGGTAAACAGAGGCGTGTGGAGTAAGGAAACTTGCCCAACATTTCGCCCCGGCGGGAATCAAACCCAGGTCCTCTCGCTTGCGAGGCGAGTGCTCTAACCACTGAGCTTCTGCCCTTTAATGCCTCATTTTTTGCAGTGAGAAGTTCGACATAGATCTGGGCTCAGCAGCGAGCGCAATAAGAAGCGATCAGTCTGAAAACCCCGCTATTGGGAGTTTTTTTCCCCCAATTACATTAAGAACACCGACATTCCTCTGTTTCCCAGTTTTGTAAAGGGTGAAATAGAGTTTATTGAGTTTTAGTAACTGTTTCAACCACAGACGAGTAATTTTGTGTTTCGCTTGAAGGTAATCGCTGAGGGCATCAAACATGTCACGCGCACCAATACCACCATCACACGTTGGTGCTACAGCCCCTGAATCGTTTACGGTACTTAAGCAGCGGATTGTTACAGTTGAGGAACAAACGGATTCATTATTTAAAGAACTGGGGGCCTTGGGTGTGGAGAGTGAGGATTTGACCAACGTCAAAGTTGGTGGGGGTGACATTCACAGGCCCGTCAGTCCCTTCCATGTCCGAAACGTGTTTACAACTGAGAGTGACGTACTGTGGAAAAACTATGAATCTCTAGTGAGTCGTGTCTGCCGCCTGGAAAGTGTTATCCAGACGCTGAAGCTAAATGTGTTTCGAATACAAACAGAGAAAGAGCTAAACCCAGAACATTCAGGTAATTAAGAATTACATATTCTCTTTTCATTGTGTGTGACTCTCTAAACATAGGTTTCTGAAATAAAAACCCACGACTTTTAAAGTCAGATTAATAACTATCTTTGTGCTGTCACGATTTTTATATTCAAAAAGTTATAAAAAGGAAATACTGTTTTTTCGCGAGAATTGTATCCAGATTTAATGCAGAATAAAACAGGTCTTTGAGATAAATCTTAAGACGTGACCATCCCAAACTGTCCACACACACCTGTCAAAGACATGTATAGCTTGTACAAAATAACATTAATGTTTTCAGCCCAAGTTGGTTTGTCTCAACTTGGTCTTCGTTTGCATCGGCTCATCTTTCCATTTGAATCCTATTGATGTTTAATCGATGTTAACTGGTTCTCTATGTTGTTGTAGCCCATGTCACAGAACGTCTGGCTGCAATGCAGGGAGAGCATGCAGAAGAGCTAAAGAAATTGAAGCGAGAGGTTATATGTTACCGACAGCATCTGAGTGAACTTAGTGAGGAAAAAGAGAGCGCTCAGGAGGAGATGGAGAGGCTGAGTGCTGCCCTAGAGATTACCACAGCAACTAAGGTACATTGTGTTCTAAAGTACAGAGGTATGTTAGCGTGACAAGTTTCAAGTGTCCATTTTCCAGAATTTTCATGTGATTCTTTGGACAATGCTCGTGACCAGGTTTGGGTTTGCCTGCACCAGCTATCTGTAAATGATGGGACTTGAATGAGCAGTCAATGGCTTAAGTATTGCAGTTGTGATGTTTAACACCAGTGTTTTGCGTATGATCCGATAAATGCTTGTTTTATTCTTTCAAATCTAGGCTGATGTGGCAATGGCAGCAGAAGAACTGAAAGCAACAAAAAGCAGAATGATCAGAAGATTGCAACAGGTTAGTGCGAAGCACTTTGAGCCATTTCAATGTAATAAAATGCAATATCAAAATGCAAGGATTGTTATTATCATCACTATCCTCCTTTGGAGGCTGCAAAATAATTGTGACTGATTTATGAAATAGATTCTTTTGAGTTATGTGCATAAATTGTTTTTCAGATAAATGAACAATTGTCACAGGAAGTGAGTCTCCGGAAAGCTCTGGAAGAATCCCACGTTGCTTTGCTACAACGTGTGCAAGATATGGAGAAAGTGGTGATGGCTGAGAGAGAGCAGGTACAGAGTTTGCTGGAAATAGACCACAGGATCTTGTGGCATAGTGATGAGCTGATAAAGTTGAACTGCCATCTTGTATGATGTCATTCTGTTTTTTATTTTTAATAATTAAAGACCAGGTTTAAAGACCGCTCCTTAAGACAAGTTCTTATTTCATAGTCCCTTTCATTTCATTGCTCCCCCCTACCTCTGCGACCTCCTAACCCCCTACCATCCTCTTCGCTCCCTCCGTTCAGCGGGCTCCAGCCTGTTTCACGTCCCCCGCCTCCCTCACCCCACTATTGGCTGGCGGGCCTTCTGCCACTCTGCCCCCATCCTCTGGAACTCCATCCCACAGTTCCTCCGCCTCGCCCCCTCCCTCGCCACCTTCAAGACCCATCTCAAGACCCTCTTCTTCGACCGTGCTTTCAATCTCCCTGCTTCCCCCCCAGCCCTCCACCCTCCTCCATCCCGACCCCCAGCTCGGGTCTGTAACTTTGTCTGTCCAACGCCTTGAGACGTCCTCCCAACGTGAAAGGCGCTTTACAAATCTAATTTTGTTGTTGTTCCTTGTGTTGGTTTCTGTCGGTTTATATTACCTGACTTTTCACTGAATAATTATTCAATAATAATCGTTGAATTTGATATAGGGAGTTTCTCATCAGGAGGCCCCCTCAAAGTGCTTTACAGGATTTAAATTGTAGTTTGTATCTCTCTATTTTGTAGGCAAACACACAGTCAATTTTCACATAGCCAAAGTATAACTGAGAACATCTAAAGTATTACATTTCTGTGTTATTTAGGTGAAGACACTTCAACAGGACTGCCTTGTGCTCAGGAAGGATAGTCAGGTAACTCAGGAGAGATTGCAGCAAGAGCAGCAGAATGCAAATGATTTGGACAATATCTACAAACAGTTAAAAATAGAAGCAGGTACGATTGAAAGTAATTTAATTATGAGAAATACTGTGTTAGATGTTTTGGATATTTTTGTGATTTTAATGTTGATTGTTATGTATCTGGTAGTTGTACTGCATTTTGTACTGAGTTCAATTCCAATTTGGTAACAATAGAAAAGTGACCTCTGCCTTGTGATATGCCATTAATGCAATCTGGATCAATGCTGTTTGAAACGTGGGAATGGAGGGAAGGAGAAACATTGCTAACTGGCTAATGAGCATTATTAATGGCACGGAACAACTTTTCCAAGCCCTGTCCTAAAAAATTATAGTCTGAAATACACTAATGAAATGTGAAAGACTATGCCAGTATGATGCAAGACATGCAATTTAAAGTATAAAACTTCTTCTGAGACCTTTTTGAATGAGGTTTAGGTAGAGGGATATTTTGCAGGAAGTTTTAATGTGTCGTTTAACTTTTCTAGATGCAAAGGAGTCCATTATAACTCAGATGGCTGATGAGGCAAAGGTAAGCATAGAGTAGAAGAAAAGTGTTTGTTTATAATCTTATTTAGTGCTACTTTAGTGGTACACATTTGTCTTTTTAGAATACACATCTTTTGTTGAATAAACATCAGAAGGAGAACACAGAAATACGCTGTGAAATTACATCATTGAGGGACGTCGCTGAGAAAGTGCAGGTAACAGAGCAACCTCAAGGTTACAGATTTTCATTTGGTTTTGACATTTGATGCTGAATTGTCTCCTGGATATAATTTTAAAATAATTTGCTCGTTTGCAGATTCATGTTTTGTAAACGAAGCAGACATCAGAACACTGTGATATTTTATTTACCCTTCTGCTTTCTCCCAGGTATTGAATGATCAGTTAAACAAACAGTGCACGGAGCTAAGTACCACACTGCACTCTGTTTCCATGGAGAATGCTAAACTTTTGATGGAACATCAAGCAGCTCTTAAGGTTTGATATTAACTCTAACCTCAACTAGGAAGGCTAATGTCACGTTGGCGTTCGTTGCAAAAGGGTTAGAGTACAAGAGTAGGGAAGTCTTGCTGCAGTTGTATAAGGCCTTGGTGAGACCGCACCTAGAATATTGTGTGCAGTTTTGGTCTCCTTATTTAACAACGGACATACTTGCCTTAGAGGGGGTGCAGCGTAGATTCACTAGGTTGGTTCCTGGGATGATGGGGTTGACCTATGAAGATAGGTTGAGTAAACTAGGCCTATATTTTCTAGAATATAGAAGAATTAGAGGTGAATTTATAGAAACCTATAAGATTCTGAAAGTCTTGATAGGGTAGATGCCGTGAGATTGTTTCCCCTGTTGGAGAATCTAAAACTAGGGGTCATAGTCTCAAGATGAAGGGTCAGCCTTTTCGAACTGAGTTGAGGAAACATTTCTTCACTCAGAGAGTAATGAATTTGTGGAATTCTCTACCCCAGAAGGCTGTGGATGCTCAGTCCTTGAACATATTGACTGAGGTTGATAGATTTCTAAAGGATACAGGGATTAAGGGATATGGGAATAGGGCTGGTAATTGGAATTAGGTTAGAAAATCAGCCATGATCTTATTAAATAGTGGGGCAGACTCGAGGGGCCGAGTGGCCTACTGCTCCAACGTCTTATGGTCTTTAGTAGTAGCATGTAGTTTCGTAAGCTACTGATGACATTTATGTTTGTCTTTCGTGCAGTAAAATTATTTTATTTTGGATTATTTTCTTCCCTTTTCCCAATAAACCCTCTAAAAGTCTGAACAGGACAAAATGACTGAAAAGTTGCGAGAACAAGATCTTTTACTGGACGCGGCAAGAGCAAATATTACAGCAGAGTTACACATTGCATTGCGTGAAAAACAACAGTTCAAAAAAGATCTGTGAGTCAAGATTTCTCATTTGCATGAATATTTAAATGGTGCTGTAAATAGTCATGATATGAATCTGTGCCATTTATATAATGAAACAAATATATTGCTACACAGATAAATCAAATGTAAAGAAATGTAGTTTGGTTATTCTGCTTAATTTATTGAAGTATTGAAGTATGGTGCCAATGTTTTTTTTATCTTAACATATCAGTGAAACTTTAAGATTGGAACATACTCAGATACAGCTAAAGTTTCAAATGGTGGAAGACAAGGCGACAACACATAAGGAGCTTCTCAAGTCAGTAATTGTTCGCCTGCGAGAGGACTTTAAAAAAGCAGATGATGAACATGAAAATACTCAACAAGAAAAGGATAGCTTGTTGGATCAAGTATGTTTTTTTTGTCTAGGAGCAGTGGCAGTTTTATTTGTGCGTAATTGGCTGCCGCGTTTTGCCCACAAAATATACAGTCAATTCACTTTACTGTATATTCTGTGAAGCGCTTTGAGACGTCTCGAAGACGTGATAAGGCAGTATATCAAATGCAAGGATTATTATTATTATCCATTGCAGAGTGAAACAACTAATGCAACTAGCTAGTTGATGTTAAAATGCCATTTTCTGATCTGTCGATACTACCTCTTAATTTTATTTCTAGAACTATTAGTACCTTACTTGAGAAAGCTACTGAGAAAACCCTATGCCTGGAACCAGTATCTGATTTTTCCATTTCTTTCATGTATTGAATGCTCTGTATTTAAATAAATTGCAATAAATTTTTTTTTGGCAGGTAAATAAAACATTGGGTGAAATTATAGAGGAGAGGAATACGTATGAGAAGCAACTGACTGAAAAGCAGGTACAGTCACTGTTGATGATGTACGAACCTCATAAGTATAGTATATCCTCTTCATAAGATGGTCTTTCGGAATGTATTGCACTAAGAATCTTAATACAATGGACTATTATAGTTGGTTTTATTTCAGAGAGTGAGGCATAAAGAATCGTGGTGTATTAAACAATATTGTATGGAAATGCTAGCAGAATTAAGTTTCACATTCCTAATATTACATTAAAATAGCTTGCATCTGTTAGGTAGTTTTAACGTTACAACTCTTAGTAGTTTTAGACTCGGGTTAGAAGTTAGGGAATTATCAATCCAGTCTAAGGCGCTATGTGTTTGACATTCTTCAAAACTTTGTGAGAAATTATTGTGCGTCAAATAGCTGTCATTTTCCTAGCAAGTAAATTGACAATAATTTTTCGTAATGTGCTTTGAGATGTTCAAGCATGATAAGGTGCGATTAAAGTTATTCTAGAAATGAGGATTTTGAAGATTTAGTTCCTACTTAGATCCATCGAGAGTGTAGGTTATATTGGATTTGGTTAAGCAGTGTTTTTTTTTAAAAAATCTGAACATCCATATTTTCTGGAACCATTAAAAGATTGTAATAATCTTTGTGCAGTTGGAGGTGGGCACTTTGTCTGCTGCTTTGGTGAAACAACAGGAAGAAAATGGACGTCTTATGGAATGTCTGGCAGCTGTTGAACACCAGCAGGTAAGCAGTGTCATTCCAATGAATTATTAAATAATAATAATCCTTGCATTTGATATAGCGCTTTTCACGTCGGGAGGATGTCCCAAAGCGCTTCACAGAACACACTGTAAAGTGAATTGACTGTATATTTGTGGGCGAACGCGGCAGCCAATTGCGCACAGCAATGTCCCACAAACAGTCGTGGGTTGAAAATGACCAATTTATTATTGTTTTTGGTTTTGGAGGGATTATTATTAGGCTCTGTGTGGAGTAAGGAAACTTGCCCGAGGTTTCGCCCTCTGCCTGGGATTGAACTCAGGTCTCTCACTTGCAAAGCGAGTGCTCTAACCACTGAGCTACAGGACTCCACAATTGTATTCAATTGTATTGAAAGCAACTCAATAGGAATTAATCTGTTTATTTTTCACCTTGTATTCCTGCCACGTTACTAAATTTACTTGTACATTTTGATACTGTCGGCTCTTCATTTTTTACAACTGTTTTAATTCATATCTTTAAAAGTTTAAAATGATACCAGTTAATATGCTTCAATGTATTTTATTTTCTCTCCAGCACGCACAGCAGCAAATAAAGCAAGTCCTTGCTGAACTGACAGAGAGTAAAAACAAATTGGCATATGAAAAAGGAAAGCTACAGGTATTGAACAGTATCAATTTATAGTACCTTATTAAAAAGGCAATTCCAATTCTCAGTGTATTTCAAGCTTAATGGATTCCTTATTGAAAAACATACTGTTTTGAAATTTCCCATAAATTAATGCAACATCTTTCCTTTCAAATGGATGGTTTCATTGTTCAGATGATGAAATATTGAAAACTTACAGAGTCTAAGGTGATGACATCTGGAGATATGATGAAATAATAAAGATATCATTTGTGGACAAACACATGTATGATTTGTATGCTTGCAGTTTAACTCAGTTAGTCGAATTCACTTTGGACAGGCATTGCACTTCATCACAATAGCAATCGCATCCTGTATTAGAACATAAGAACATAACAATTAGGAGCAGGAGTCGGCCATTCGGCCCCTTGAGCCTGCCCCGCCATTCATTAAGATCACGGCTGATCTTCTGACCTAACTCTAATTACCCGCTCTCTCCCCATATCCTCTAATCCCTCTATTTTTTAAAAATCTTATCAGTCTCAGCCTTGAAGATGTTCAAGGACTGAGCATCTACAGCCTTCTGGGGGAGTGAATTCCATAAATTCACTATCCTCTGAGTGAAGAAATATTTCCTCAACTCTGCTCTAAAAGGCTGACCCTTAATTTAAGACTGTGACCCCTGGTTATAGATTCTCCTACCGGGGAAACAGTCCCTCAGTGTCTACTTTATCAGCCCTTTAAGAATCTTATATGTTTCAATAAGATCTCCCCTAATTCTTCTGTACTCTAGAGAATACAGCCCCAGTTTATTCAGCCTATCCTCATAGGTCAGTCCCCTCATCCCAGGAACTAACCGAGTGAATCTACGCTGCACCCCCTCGAGGGCAAGTATGTCCTTTTTTAAATAAGGAGATCATTTGTGATTGAAAAATAAAATATTGTGAGTCAAAATCTGATAAAGCCTGACACTTTTAGCCAACAATCTCTCGGTGGCAGAAATCTGCGCAGTGTTTAAATAAAGGGTAATTAAACAACTTTAAAGAGTAATTTTTGTTTTGTTTTACTTGAAACAAAATAGGAGAGAGTTTGGAAGAAAAGAAAGAAGGTAACTCAATTTCAAAGTCAGCCAAAGGAAAAAAAATGGAATAGATTAGATTTGGTGGGTAAATTTGAGTTAGGTAGAGGATGGGACAATTGAAACTGGAACTCTCTCCTTCAATCCCTCTGCATTGCCCCCTCCCTTCCCACGTTCAAATCCCGCCTAAAGACCTTCCTTTTTGATCGTGCTTACGGTCACCTCCCTCTCCCCTTGGCTCATTGTCAGGCTCCACCACTGTCAAGCGCTCCGGGACGCTACCCCGTGTGAAGAGAGCTATATAAATGGAAGTTGTTGTTGTTCAGTGTGGGAACAGATGATTAATGTGTTGTTCATGTCCATTTTTTGTTCATAGACAAGAGTGGAGCAATTACAGGAGGAATTGAAGTGTACATCTGCTGCCAATTTTGAGAATACCAAATTAAAAAAACGTAACACAGCCCTGGAGTCTAAATATAGTCAGGTGAGGTAACTTGTATTGAGCAGTAGTGTTTTTTGTCACTCTTCCCTTCACAGGCTACAGATCATCCAAAACTCTGCAGCTTGTGTACTCTCGCGTACCAGGCTCCGTGACCCCATCGCTCCCACCCTCACCCGACTCCACCGGCTCCCCATCTCCCAGAGGATCGAGTTCAAGATCCTCGTCCTCAACTTTAAGGCCATCCATGGCCTCGCCCCCTCCTACCTCTCTGACCTGCTGACTCCCTACCAACCTGCCCCCTCCCTCCGTTCAGCGGGCTCCAGCTGCTCCATGTCTCCCGCCCGACCCGCCCTACCATCGGTGGCTGAGCTTTCAGCCTCTCTGCCCCCACACTCTGGAACTCCATCCCATAGTCCCTTCGCCTCGCTTCCTCCCTCGCCTCCTTCAAGGCCGGTCTCAAGACCTTTCTCTTCGATCGTGCCTTTGCTCGCCCTCCCACCTCTCTGCCTTCCCCTCACCCCTACCCCACTCCCATGCTCGGGCCCCGACACCTGACTGTTCAGCGCTTTGGGACGTCCTCCCGACTTGAAAGGCGCTCTATAAATGTAATTTTGTTGTTGTTGTCACAATCGTCATGCATTTATGTTTACTGAAAAATGCTTTTGATGCACTTCCAGATGTAATGAGAGGTGTTTAGTTTACTTATTCTTTCTATTTGTGATTTAGTTATTAGCAGTTTGATGCAGTATAGAAGCCCATTGGAAAAAGTAAACCTGATGCTGATTTAGTGCAATGTAATAATAATGATAATAATAATCCTTGCTTCTGATATTGTTCCTTGTCACGTCGTTAAAACATCTAAAGGCGGTTCACCAGAATATATTGTAAAGTGGATTGTCCGTGTATTTTGTGGGCAAAATGGTGCCGGAGTACCTTGTAAAGGTAATCTCAGTTTTGTGTGCATGTCTGAAGCCAGTGCAATATGAACTTTTTTTTTAAGTTTAAAGAGTTTTTGATCAGTCTTCTGAATCATCGTTTAAAACGACAGAACTATGTATCAGTGGAGTGTGTGTTTGTCAATACTGTCGAAAGTAAATCTGTTCTTGCCTCACCTTTTTTTAGCGAGTTAGTTTTAATCCGTGACCGACTGGTATATTTTTTATGTCCTTTAGATTAATACAGAGTTCAGCACATGCAAGATTAATACACAAAGACTTGAGGCTCAGCACAAACAGGTATATGAAGGCACTCCGATACAATATACAGTATCAATGTACAATGAATTGCTTTGAGGTATTAGTTATTTTGCTTTAACACTGATACATTTTGTAGATATGCCCAATAGCATACATTATTAATATTAGAGGAGAGAGATCTTAATATATGTACCGTATCTACTTATTTATATTGTTAGCTGTGAGGAGATAAAAACCTGTGAGACTTGTTGTTTGAGAGGTACCATCAGATTAGGAAGGAGTGAAGGCGTAACATCATAAAACCCAGAAATAAGTATCTGACCACCATATAACAGCTTGGCTATAACACAGTCAGAACCAAATCCAGAAGTATCTTTATTAGCTGAGTACAATCCCACAATCTACCAGCATTAATTAACCCAAGGAATAGTATATGTTTTATAGCTACAGATTTTGATTTTTTGTTCTGTTCGAAATGAGGCCCAGTTGGCAATGGAGCAAAAAGAGGAAGATTTTGCAAAGGCAATTAAGTCTCGTGATGAGATACTTCGAGAAATCCAAAAACTAAAAGAACATTCAGAAGTTATACAAGAGAAAGACAAACAGAAGGTAAGAGAAGCAATTATTTTTGTTTTCACTGAATATCCAAATGCTTAACCGATTATTAACCATACCATGAGTTGATCCAGATACTGTTTGCAACAAGGATGAATGATGTAAATTCAAGTGGATCTGGTGTTTGTTTGTGAATTAAGCAATGCTTATTTATCTGCTCAGCTGATTCATTGTGAATGATGATTCACTTTCCAGGTCATAAATCTTCAGCAGCAGTTGATGGATTGTAAACAAGACAGTAACAAGATAGCAGAAACCCTGGAGAATGTATTGACGTCACACACGAAACTCCAACACACAGTGGAGAAACTGCAGACAGAACTTGGGCAGAGAGATGCAGAGATAAAAGGCTTACATCGAGAAAGGTAAGCAAAACCTTAATTACCGCTCTCATAATGTAGTAGAGAATTAAAACTGTCTGAATGGATCTTAGGTATCTAGTGGCTATTTGAATACAACAATACAAGTTCCAAAATTATTAAAGGAATAAATAATACTTAATAATAATTATAACAACAAAAACATTACATTTATAGAGAGCCTTTCACATTGGGAGCACGTCCCAAGGCGCTGGACGGTCAGGGTTCAGGACCCGAGCATGGGGGAGGGGTGGGGTAGGGGTGAGGGAAGGCAGAGAAGTGGGAGGGCGACTGAAGGCACGATCGAAGAGGAAGGTCTTGAGACCGGTCTGGAGGCCTTGAAAATTAAGCATTTAATTGTGCTTACGGTCCCCTCCCTTTCCCCCTGACTCGGTGTCAGACTACGCCATCGTCAAGCACTCTGGGATGCTACTCCACGTGAAAGATGCTATATAAATGCAAGTTGTTGTTGAATATGTATTAAAGAGACCATTACTAATCTGGACACCCAGTCAGTATACACACTTATTTCAGGCAATGCCTTTCAAACTCGTATGTATTCAAACATGTATAAATATGAAATGTTAAAGCTGCAGTTTCCTTCCAGGTCATATAATCATCAGACTCTTCAGAGGCTACAAGCTGAGCTTCAGGATCTACAGGCTAAACTAGCTACCACGGAAACACAGCACAACATTCAGGTGAGTAAACTAATCACTTACATCTTATAATTGCAATTTTTAAAAAATACTTTGTAAAGGCAAAGTTTTGTGTACAGCTATAGAGATTAGATACACCGCACATGTTTACAGTACATATATAATACTAGTGTTGTGAAATGCCCGCTATAAATCCTGGTTGACCAGTCAAATCCTAAAACAAGTTGTACCAGAATCAAAATTCTGAGATTACCTTGAAAGGTTTGTTTGACAATGAATTAGTCATGACACAAACTAATACTGGAGGCCTTGACAGTGGATTCACCACCCCCCCAACGCGTACTTGCTCTGTGCTTATCTTCGTGTATTTTGGTTTGTGGGTCTAATCTCCTTTATTTCCACGCAATCCAAGCTTACATTCGCACTCTTCCACTTTAGCTCCTTTGATGAATCACCATGAAAAGTGCAGTACAAACACAGCATGACTCTTCGAATTTGTTGAATGACGTAACATTTCTTGCAACATTTTTAGAAAATATTCACAATGAATTTTGATGTCTACCCAGTAAAAAAAGAACACTAGGTATAGTGAAAGTCTGACTTTGAAATTCAATTAAGACTGGAGTTCAAACACACTCATTCTTACCCATGGCGTGAGACATTAAACCACTTTTTTATATAGTTGAAGCCTGAAGTAATTTCAAGTGTTTTCTTAATAAGGTGGAGCCTCTCCGAAAAGCACTGGAAATTTCAAAGCAAGACAATAAGAAGCTAGCTCGCAGCCTGGAACAGACTCTGCTCACAACCAACGGCTTGCAGATCAAACTAAATCAACTCCAGTCTGAGCTAGATGGCAAGGAATTACAGCAACAACAACTTCAGCATACCAGGTGAGCTCCACAGACTCAACTAGAATATGTCAGCCAAACAACGATCATCTTGTTTCAGATTTCCACTCATCAACCGTTTCCTAATTAAATACATGAAAAATAGAATGCTAAAAAAAAAACTCGATGCACTTCCTCACTCCTACCCCTGCCCTGTCTGAGGCTTGCGATCAAGTGGCTTGGCAATGCTGCTGTGAATCGCATCAGTGGGAGAGCATGAGTGTGGCCTGGGGACCTCTGTCTCTCACCGGTCAAATGCTTGGCTTCTGCTCAGTGATGAGGTTCAGATGAGAAACTCAGCACATTAAAGATTGCTAGTGAAAATCCATGCCTTTCGACTTCACAGTAAACCCCTTTACTACTGTTGTAAAATTCTTAGAGTTGTTCCACTGAAGTCCAGTAACAGCAAATTATTACTAATTGGTAGTTTATCCTCTAATTACTTAGTTTATGGTGCATGTTGCAAAAACATTCTACAGGGAGCAAGAAGCTGAGGATGCCAAATTGGAGTCTAAAATGTTTGCTGAAAGAATTGAAGCTTTGAAGAACCAGTTCCAAAGTGAGAGAGAGACTGCACGGAAAGCCAATCAGAAGGAAATAATGGAGGTAAGTGAACAATCGTTATAGTATTATTTTAGGTTTTATGTACTAAAATGATAACATAGAACCCCCCCCTCATATCCTACAGTAATGTTGTCTTTATTAAGTTAACCACTAGAATTTGAATGAAGGGAGGAGAATCAAAAAAAAACTATCTATAAATAAATCTTGAAATAATCGTCACTTTTCTTTGACCAACAAATGTTTTCTGACTTTAATAGCTTAAAAAAGGGCTTTGTGCTGCAGCAAAGTCGGCAGAACTGTCACGTGCCAATAGGGAATTGCGACAGAACGCTGCTGAGTTGGAGAAGACCATAACAAGTCTGAAGGCAAAAATCAAAGATCAGAAAGGACAGCTGAAGCATTACCTGGAGTGCAAAGCAACCAACACACAATATTCCAGTAGGATGAAGGTGTGTGTGCAATACAATTGTCTGTAGATATCTGGTCTCATTTTGAAAGGTGTTCTTTGCCTATGCCTGAAGAACAAACGTATTTGCAGATTACAGAAGTGGCATTGAGAGACATCTCGGTTTAAATTCTTATTTTTTCTTTAGGAATTTGAAGCAGACTTAACAAGGATGGAGAAAATGAAGGGAGAGTATGAAAAAAAGAACTATGAACAGGTATGTATTCAATTAAAAAGCGCTTGCATGAATAGTTTGAACTGAAGTTGTCAGGAGCATCTGGGGAAAAAAGCTCACAGGATGCCTTGACTATAAAATAATAATCCTTGCATTTGATATGAAAAGTGGCAGAGGAGGAAAGCATGTTGGTTTTAGTGAAAATGGGAGCCAGCTGTCAATTGATTTGTGAAGAGTGATGGAGCAGAAGAGCTAATTGTGCCTTGTTTTGTTTCCCTGTGCCGCAGTCTCAGATGATTCACAAGTTTATGACTGAGATGCAGAGTCTACAAGCAGAGCTTCAGAGCGTGGCAAAGAATCAGCATGAGGCAATGCTGCTCTGCAAACAGCAGGAATTCCAGTTAGAAACAGAGGACAAACTACGACATGAGCTGCAGAATAAATGTCGGGTGAGAAGGCTTTCGTCGCAGTGTTGGTCGACCCGATAGTGACAGCTCAGTTTGAACTCTATAGTTCAGAAAAATCTTTAAATCTGCGTGCATTTCATAATTTTTTGTTTGGTATTGCAAAATAAATACAGTTACAGTAAACACAATAAATACCTCCTGCTAATTCTTGCTTAACTTGTCACTACCACTTAAGCCATTGTATTTGTCACTATCCCAGCTGCATTTATTTATGTATTTACACCCATGCCTAACTCGCCATTTGTCATAAACCCTTTTCCCTGGAGTGTTGAGTTATCGGGAGTTAACTGGACTAAGATTCAGGAAATAGGATGAAAGTTTATGTTGTATTGTCAACATACCCAACAAGGCTGCATCTTTCAAAGCACAACTTTCCTCCTATATATTTGGATGAAAACCTTTTCAGGTTGGTAACAAAGTTGACTTATTTTTGCTTCTAGAGTCTAGAGGAAAAGGTGAAGAATCTGCAAATGTGCAAAGAGGCAGCTGAGCAGAAACTGAAGGAAGCCAGTTTAGAGTCACAGCAGGTAGGGAAATGTGTGACTTGGAGATGGACAAATTCTTGTTCTTGTTTTAGTAAATTGTTTTACCTGAATTAATAAGTAACTGTCAGTGTCATGAACAAAAACATAGACATTCTTTTATATACGTTGGTATTTTTGTTACAGTCTTTTTATCAAAATATTGCTATATTACAGCAGTGCTATACATGAAATTGGTGGTTCATTTAATTGCTGTGCACAATTGTGTCACTCCATTTCACAGTAAATCCTGTGAAGCGCTTTAAGTCGTTGTGATAAGATGCCATACCAAATGAGAGGATTATTATTATTATTGTTATAGGAGGCCAATTTATTTTTAAAGAAAAACATAGGGAAATCTGTACTGAAAGTGCTATCAGTGTCCTACAGTGATTTGAACCACTTGAAAATACAATTTTTTTTATGGCAACAATGCTCTTTGTGATTTTATTGGCATTCAGATCAGTGCTAATCTAGAGGAAGCACACCAGTGGTTTAAGTCCAAGTTTGACACTCTACAAACAGAACTGAAACAATCACGTGAAAGGGACCGATGGAAAGAACAACTGGGTGACAAGGAGAACTTAGAGAACATCAATGTACAAGACCTTTATTCAAGATCAAGACAAAGGGCAAAGGTAGAAATTCACCTTTTTTAAGCTAACCAGTTGCTATCTTTTTTCACTCTCGATGGTTAAGGATACAGAGTTAATACCCTCCGTGCCAACTGCACTGTAACATTCAACGATTCTAAGGAAGCTCAATTCGTACTCTCTTGTTCTCTAAAGCCGAATATTTCACGTGACGCAAAACCTTAATTATCTGAAATATTAAGCCAATCTTACTCATCTCCTACTAAATTATTACAGCAACAACAACTTGCATTTCTATTGCGCCTTTCTTGTAGACAGTAATTCAAAATATACGTTGCTGTGTATGATTGATTCTAATATTAGAAAATCTTTTTTTTCTTTCCTTATGTAGGACACAAAAAGGCTACTTGTTAAAAGTCCCAGTGAATCCTGCCTCAACCGCTGGGAAACAAACAGGAACTGAAGCTTCTTTCCAGGAACTATTGGGATGCCATGGCTAAGAAATAAAAAAATCAAAAGAAATGAAGTAAACTTGAATCTAAATTAAGGAAATGTGATCTTTAATTATTGGAAGTCTTTTTCTTCACTTGAAATAATACAATACCGGCTGCTGTAAAGTAAATGGAAGCAATTTGGATTTGATTTATTTGTATGTCTCTGCTTTTCCATATTTTCCACACCTTCAGGCTGACTCTGTTATAATGAGCCTCGTTACAGAGTGGGTCCACTTCTCCTGTGGGTTTACCATGCACTGGAGGTATTTTACATTTCCAGTTTCCCAGGCTGGCTGGCTGGCTTGACCCCCCGCACATTTTGTTTTGAGTCCACGTGGTGAGTGATTTGGGGAAGTGAATTTTATGTTTGCTTTCTCCTTGATAGCTCAGTTTGAACCTCATGGGTCTGAAGGAATACATTCATTGCTAAGCCGTTTGAGATCAGCTGAATTTGTTGTCGCTCCTTGTCAAACCACTTGGTTGAACAATATTTGTTCATGTGTTGTAGTATTCCATTGGAATTGACTACTTCAAACAAGCGTTTATGTACCTTTGTAAATTATGTAACAGAATGAATGTGTGCTACTTTTCACCCACAAAATATACTGTCAATTCACTTTACACTATATTCTGTGAAGTACTTTGAGATGTATTGAATTTGTGATAAGGTGTTATATCAAATGCAAGGATTATTATTAATATTGTTACATATCTTAATTTAAACATTTTCATTAATTAACTCTTGTTCATTAAAGTTTATTTCTACACTTGATACCTTAGATTTATCAGTTATATGGTTAGTTTCAGAAGGAAACGTATAATCATTGTGAAATATATTTTATAATAAATACTCTATTGGTATTTCTATTTTATATGTTAAATTTCTTTTTTAATTCTTCTGCTGCCAGAGATCTTTATGTTGAAGTAAATTCTGTGAATTGACAAATGTATTTCTTGGAAAATCTTATTAGTGTCCCTTTTGCATGCGGGTAGGCACATATTAAATGCATCAGCAGCAATTTAAACACTATTTAACATTTGAGTAGATGAAACACTATCTCAGCAGTTTGGGGATTTCAAATGAAAACTGGTTATTTGAGTTTTCACTCAAAGTCTTTCTATTGAATCTTGTATAAAATCTGCCATAAGATTGAACTAAACTTATTTGTTCACATATGGCAGCTCCTCAAAGAGATGAAAGTGCGATGCAGAGAATTTATTTTTAATTAGGAAGGTACGAGGATCTTCCATGGTTTGCTTACTGATAATTCTGTTTATCTTGCATAGACAAATAACTCGAGATAATTTGAGCTAAACAAGTTTCTGCCTCTCTGCACCTTCACCCAAATTGCCAGATAACACGTGATACAGCTATCATGTGCAAATGTCACTCATTTGACTTGTTAACTGGAGGGAAACGGAACTGACTACAGGAGATTGATTTCTAGATTAGAGGGATAAACTGAGACTTGAACAAACAATAGAATGCACGATTCTCTACATTGAGGGTAGGTATTTAACAGATCTTCAAGACAGGTTCAAATACTTTTTATTCATTGGAACAAAAGATGCAACAACAAATTAATTGCAATTTGATCAAAAATCATCCCAAGGTTCACTTCACACTGCAGCTCTCCTAACATTTCTAAGTATGTTACATTTCCAGTTGATTGACTTTTAAAGCATTTTTTAAAATTAAATATCTTTGGTCCTATTTTTCTTAAAATGTCTCCTCTCCACACCCCCCCCTCACCTCCCAGCTCAGTGCACATGCCACGAACAATCACTTGCAGCAACCGAGAAGGGAGCTACAATTTGCTTTGTGAACCTTCTTAAGTTTGCTAAGTACTAATATTTTGAATTACCGAGACAGCACTTGACTGCGATTGCAAGGCTATTTTGTATTGACGACATTAACCAACTATGTGTTGAAATTGTATCCTACAAACAATTAAGAATATGAAATACTGACAAATAAGTCAAATTTTTTTTGGAGAAAGCACGATCAGGCAGCTCAAAAGTTATACGTATTAATGGAAACTAGACACTAAAATGAAACACAAAACAAAAACACATTAAGCTTACAATACCGCAACAGAACACATTTTGAATGTACAACCCCTTGTACTCATTGAAGGGGTCTTTAAGATAGTAGATATGTAAAATAATTTTGGCTTTTTTAAGAGCAGCTTCAATGCTGCCACAGAAAAACTGGATTAAGATTTTTTTTCACAAATACAGTAATAAGTTTCAGTTCAATAGAGAATAAAGCAGTGGTTGCAGACAAGACTGTATCAAACCATACGATAAGCAGCAAGAGTGACACTGGAGCACTTTATAACACTTAACGAGACACAGATGAAATTACTTCATTTTACAATTACTTCACTCACTCGGACACAGTAGGCTTTGCTGGTAACAATCTGTCATATTATTTTTGGAATTGCAGGTTAGTAGCCAGCACAGTTGTTAATATTTTATGTTACGGCACAATTCCTGAAATAAGTTTAAAATAATTTCTATTGCAACTTCCCAGACTGCAACCAAAACTTCACAAGTTTTTGTCCAGCCAGTTTATGTAGTTATTCATGATCCTGTTCCCAACGTCAAAGTAGGTCGGAGGCAGCGCAAATATCATGGCGCCATGGAATCCATCTTCATAGTGGTCGAGAGTAACTTCTATTCCTGCTTCTTCTAAACGCCGGGCATACATCATTCCATCATCCCTCAGAATATCGTGCTCACAGGTCAGGATGTAGGCCTTTGGTAACAGCTGCAGGATTTCCTCATCTGCAATCAGCGGAGCTGCTCTTGGATCCAGCAATGCTGGCAGTTTCTCGATGACCTGTGGGCTTCCCATTACTTGGATGACAGGTTTGTAATTCTTTATGAATGATTTGGGTAATAGTGTAGTCCAGTTTAAGCGAGCCCGAGCCGTTGTCAGCTGACTTAAGTCTGATGCTGTGTGGTTGTTGACCAGCATTGCCTGGACAAAGCTGGGGTCACCGTTCAGATACTCTAACCAGAAACGAGCCATGACCCGTTTGTACAAGATGGGAGTAGCTGTGTTCTGCTGATAGGAAGGAGTATTGAAGTCAAGTGCTTGAAGCACTGGATATATGAGAGCTTGAATCTTGAGTCTGGTGGTGACACTGCTGTCCACAACAAGCTACGCAGGAAAAGGAACAAGGCGTTATTTTAAGGTGATCGAAATTAATTTGTTTGCTGGGGTGATTTTTACGCTAGAATTCGAGGCGTTTTGAGATGCCTTCCCGACATGAAAGCGGCTATATAAATGTAAATCGTTTATTGTTTTGCAGTTAACAACAAAATTACAACTCTGTTGATTTAGAAAACACTAAAACAAAATAGTTTCACTTGTTATTTCACTTTACAATTGTTGCATCAATTGTATTAATTGTTTATACCTCAGGTACAACTTATGTGAAATATCCATTGATCTGGCGAAAGGCCAAGTTGTAGCCCTTAAACCGCAACAGAATACTTCTTGGTCTCAAACCTTAAACATCCTTTGTGAAATAGGAACAGGTTATTTTGGAAGGTGTAAAGCACTTGTTTTTTTAAAAAAGAAAGCACTGATAAAATTGAGACATAGATACTCCTTCCAGTTGTATGAAGTGCGCTGACAACGTGGAGTCCTGTAGCTCAGTGGTTAGAGCACTCGCCTTGAAAGCGAGACACCTGAGTTCAATCCCAGGCAGAGGGCCAAACCTCGGGCAAGTTTCCTTACTCCACACAGAGCCTAATAATAATCCCTCCAAAACCAAAAACAATAATAAATTGGTCATTTTCAATCCATGACTGTTTGTGGGACATTGCTGTGTGCAATTGGCTGCCGCGTTCGCCCACAAATATACAGTCAATTCACTTTACAGCATATTGTGTGAAGCGCTTTGAGACGTTTTGAAGACGTGGAAAGCGCTATATCAAATGCAGAATTATTATTATTATTAATTAAATCAATTTGCTTGTTTTCTCAATTCAGGACGAGAGGTGATCAATCAGCTATGATTTTGTTAACTACTGTATTCTCCTTAACTATTCCAGTTAATATTAAAGAGGTTCTTACCTGCTGGCTTACAGCTGCAGCCAAGTTCCCACCAGCACTATCTCCAGAAATTGCAATTCGATTTGGATCCACAGAATATTGGGCCAAGACCGCAGGCTGCAGGAAATGCTTCGAAGCGCTGTAAGCATCGTTAATTTGTTCGGGAAAATGAACCTCTGGGACAAGGCGGTATCTGAAGTTAAAGTAAAATGCAATTAAGTTCAATACAACTTTTATCTAATTTGTTGTTGAAACAAAGAACATTTTCTGCTTCCACTGTCTCCCTTGGGAGCCTGTTCCATAGGTTAACTACGCCCTCTCTGAAGTGGTGGCACCATTCGATATTGTACAAAATGTAGAACTTTACATTCCTCCCTCACAAATGTCAACACTTTAGATTTGTTTCTGGTTCGCCTCATATTAAGCTGGAACGTTCAGGTTTTCCAAACTAACATTTATTTCGGATGCAAGCTGAAGGCAGAAATCCTTGTGAAATGACATTTATTTTCCATGTGGTTTTCTGAACAAGAAAGGACGCGAGAAGGAAGGAGACCCAAGGTCTGACTTGGAGCCTTGAGGCGCATTCCTGACTCAAACCTTGCCAGGGAGATTGTGTCATGGTTATGGTGCTACATCCAGCCCAAACCTTTGGCACTGGTGTTATATTTCAAGCTGTAACAATCCTGTACAAAAACAAGCTAAAAGTTTGCACAACAATAGATTTCCCCAAACAACCCATTCTGTGAGGCCGCACACTCACACTGGCTTCGATTTTTTTCTGAAAATGGCAAGGGTGGAATTTGTCTTAATATAGAAATATAGACCCAGGAGGCCATTCAGCCCCTCGAACATGTTCCGCCATTCTATAAGATCATGACTGATCAGTACCTCAACTCCAATTTCCCCCCTTGCCCCGTATCTCTTGATACCCTGATCTAACAAACATTTACCCACCTCAGTCTCACAAATGTGAATGGATGCAGCATCCACAACCTTTAGGGTAAGAGAGTTCCAGATTTCCACTACCCGTACTTTCTGAGTAAACAATTCGAACAGTCACTGGCTTTATGTCCATGAAGTCTCAGCAAAAAAATTACCTTAAGGATGCACCGTCCAGGAATAATTGTGACATATGTTTGTTTGTTTGTTTATTTCTACTTACTCAATAGAGATAACAACAGCATTCATGTCTTCTGCCATCTTCCGACAAAGGTAGTCATATGATCTCATTCCTGTATTAAAAAAAATTAAATTAACCATCTGCTTAAAGATCAAATTTAACATCTGCCAGTCCAAAATGTTTGTGGTTAATGCTTGATAATGTGTTCCTTTGTGACGTTATGCTTATAATTGCAAAATCGTTGGATGTTGGGCAAGCGGTTTTAACTCTATGAACCCAGGCTAAGGATCTCTTGCCCTGCATTTTTATCATTATTTTCTTTCACAGCAATTCAGGCTTCATGATCAGCTGCGTTTATTCACAATGAAAAATATCTGCCTTTGGATGTTGATTTGGAACCATAGTCAGCAGGAATTAGGTAAACAGGGCATCCCTGAGCATTCATCCAATAAACATGTCTGGAATTTTCACGTGTAGGTGGGAATCACTGAACTCTGTTTGGTTTGGAGACTCTTAAGCACGGTGATGGTTTCACTTGAGTTACACACCTGGCTGAGCCGGAAAAAAAAGGACACTTAAGATTGTGATTTTTTGTCTTCAAACCTAAAGATCTGTACCAAGATACTTCATAGGGACTGAAACTTACAAGGTTGCATGAAAAATAATACAATGCAGGTTTGCACTGGATGATTAAGAGCCACTCTTGTGACATTATTTGTTTTCGCAGCACACCTACTTGCACTTCCCAAAGCCCAGCCGCCACCGTGTATGTAAATAACACTCCGCTTTAGTTCGCCCTCCAGTCTTTCTTCAGGTTCAAACACCCGGACTTGTACTCCATCGAATGTGGTGTCTGTCACTCTCACAGTGTCACTGGACTGGGGAGCGAGCATTTCAAACATGGTGACGGCACAATTCAGAAACTTCAGGTGGTGTCCGAGACCCAACAGCTGCATCAAGTGACTCTGGAAAGTGAATGACAGAGAACGAAAAAAGTCAACTTATTAAAGCATTTGTACCACAGATACAGCTTTTATCTGGAAATCTGGAACTCTCTCCCCCAAAAGGCTGGCATTGCTGGATCCATTCACATTTTGAAAATTGAGGTGTCTGGATGTTAGGTCGGGGTATCAAATGATACGGGGCAAAGGGCGGGTAATTGGAGTTAAGGTACAGATCAGCCTTGGTCTCGTAGATGGCGGAACGGGCCCGATTGGCTGAATGGCCTCCTCCTGTTTCTATGTTTTATGTGGGCCCTCAAATTAAATTTTAAAAACGTTCTATTTTATTCATTAATCTTGTGTCATACAGATTTTCTTACTCAATTATTTCAACCGTCACCTTTCACACACTTGCTCAGCCGACGTAATATCGGTAGCAACACAACACAGTATACTGGCGATGATAACAGTTTCTCTCTGAAACAACCGGAGCCTCCGAGTAAAGACTCGGAACAGAAATTTAGATTTACCGAAATACTTTAATCCAGCTGGAGAAATGACCTTCAATTTAACCGTAGCAACAACAACAACTTGATTTATCTCCTGCCCCTCCCGTAGGGTAGTGGCGCAGAGCACGTAACAACGGCGCAGTAATTAGCAATACAGGATCACAGGAGCAGACGTGTAAACCTGTTTCGTCCTCGCTGACTTTTTTTTTAAGGATACTCTCCCATCTTTTTCCGATCTCCCATTACGGCGGCTTGTCAGGTGGCTATCTCTGGGGTCTCCTCCAGTGACCCCCTCTGAAGCAGCCTCCCAAGAAGCGCGAGAATGGGCAGATCGATGCAACGCTGAACCGGCGAACATCTGAACTCGCCACAGAACGATCGTTAACTGCATTAAATGGAAAGACGGCTCTGCGTTCTGCCAAAGATACTCTGAATGCCGTTTTCTTTGCTTTTCTCTTGTGTTCATCACAAGAAAATGTCTCTCGGTTTACCGGGAAGAATAGACCATAACGATAAATTGGTACTAATAAATCGGGTTACCAGACTTAAACGTATTTTAAACGTGTCATCACATCTGTGAACTTTCCTCCTCACTCCCTCAAACTCCCTACAGATCATTCAGCCACAAACCTCTCCACAGTTGAATCTGGAGGAAAGGTCACCATCCAGTCATGAGTCAGTACAAACGTGCGAAAGTGTTTGACAAGTTACTGTAGTATAACGGTACCAGCAAAGGCTCACCCCACTCTTCTTTTCTAATTCCCAAGCCGCGAAACGAAAAAAAAGTTTTTTTTTTTAAAAACAACACTAAATGAAACAAACAGAATCTAAACGGATTTAGGCGCAGAATATTTTCCAGTTGTCTGACAAACTGCTGAGCACGTGAACTGCTGACAAAAAATCTCACTCAGAAACGACAGTATTTTCCCGAAGAACTGGAATTGGCTGCGTGTGAAATTGAAATGCACTTGTGAGAAACGTGGAACTATGACGAATTCGTGAACTGACGATCGATTGAACATCAGTGCAAACACGTATAAACTGCCAATTACAGATTAATTGTTGATCTTAATTTTATCTGCACGTTGCAGAACACTAATTACCAAAGCAAAGCGCAATGCCGTGCAACACGGGGGCAGAAAATCTACCTGATTTAATTGCGTGATGCTCGTTTAATATCCTCATTATCGTAGCTCTATTAAATTGGTGTACGTTAACTTAAATCCAGCTTGCGTCGTTTACGGTTAGGATTACGATGAGAGTGTGAGGAAATAATGGCCTCACGTAGCAGAGAAACATTTGAGAGATCATTTCCTTCCCAAATTGCGTAACNAAAAAAACAGGAACCGCAGGAATGAGAATTTGTTAACTTGGGAATGACAGCAATTCTTTATTTGTGTTC